TCTCACTGTACGTTATCGCGTGAAGAGGTCCTTCATGACCTCCAGTGGCTCGGGTTCGACAGCACCTTCAAGTCCATACAAGCGCCACGGTTTCAAGTCCCCATCCATGACCTGTGGCGCCTGCTCTATACGAATTGTCGCTTGGTGTTCCCAGTTTTGGTTGTCAGAGACATTGTTTCGTGGACGCCCAGGGTCCACGCTGCTCAGCTACGTCTTACTGAGCAGGTTCGGAGTAACGCTGTTGGTCGAGAAGAAACTTTCTGCGATTCGCGCTTACGCTGAGGTAAGCGAAACTTAAACAGGGGGGTGATGTAATGGGGCTACCTATTACATGAGTAGTTATAGGGATAATACATAATTACATAAGCAGGCATAGGGCAGTATCCGATTAGCGGATACTGTGCGTCATTTTATTATTGGTTTATTATTGGGGTGCCAGAGCCAATAATTAGCCAATAATAAATTGACTTCCATTTTGAGTGGTTTCCATGAGCTAGGGAACATATTCGCACTTAATGCGAATTAAAACAAAACAAATATAAAACAGAGTTATATTTACGAGTTAATTCAGAGCGTTTCCTCAACGCCCTTCTAGTGTAAGACGGTAACGGGTCCTTAGCCCGTTACAACTTCTATAACATTGCTCCTAAATTTATATTGACAATGGCACGCTGCTTTGTATTTTGCAGCACAACTACAGCAAGCTGACCTATATATGCAAGGCGAGCCACTAATTTCACTAATAATTACTCACTTGCAACGAATCATCCAACACATAATCGAAATCCATTTTTAATGAATGGCATGGGCGCTTTCCACACGCGACGTTGTGACATGGCCATTGTAGACGGGCGCTTCGTATAAAAGCTGCCACGTACTGTGCGGGCACACCTTAAAGCAGCGCGAGGAAGCGGTTATACCGTCTTACCTCCGCGTGCGGTGGTGGTTGCGTTGGTCGGTCGCTTAAAGCGCCGAACCAAACTGTTGCCGGCCACCTTAGAGCGTTCCGCGCAACGAACAACTAGAAGTACCTCACTTACGTCACGAAGAAGCTTATTAAGCTTCTCAAGCGCAGTGGGCGGTAGTTAGTAAATTCAAGACTCACTTGTATTTAATAGAAATTTAACTAAATATAAATATAACTATTAATTGATCAAATATATAAGATCGGATACGCGTCTCTTTGGAAGCGAATCCTTGCGTGCGAGCTTAAAAAATATTTAAGCTCGCTGATGACGTCTTTCTGAAGCGTCACCATGACGCTCAGTCCCAACTGACGTCATCCTCGTTGACTTTGAATCCATCCATGGATATCACATTCACGAGGGTGGGTCACATGTTTGTGGCTGAAAGAATAGCATTGGCTCAGTATATTGGTCGCTCGCTACAGTTCATCGATTGTACCAACTACGATGAGCTGGTCCATATTCTTATCCAGCCTTCGACGAAAGTGAAGATGCTACTGTACTTGCGTTGCTCTTAGAAGAGATGCTACGCTACTGTGACTGCTCGTCGGAAACTGTGACGTCTCTGTTTTTTCGGCCATCCAGGCTCTGCGTATCTCAGTACAGCCGATTCTTTTCACTGTGGTTGTTTCACCAGATCGTTATGTGGACACAGGGTATGGTAATGCCAACAACAAATTCCGCTGGCATATTGACAACGTTTTTGGCCGTGCAGTTGTGCAACAAGTGCAAATCTGGTGGACTTGCAGCAGTTGCTGGCATTCAGAAAATCATTGGACGTACTGCTATTTTTTATGCGAAACTGTGCTGAATGAGGAGAATTGTGCAGCTGTAGTGCAACAACTGCCGAAGGATGTAAAAATTTGCCGATGCTGCTGATTTTTATGAATTGCTGCCAAATGTATCTTATTTTGACCGAACCCTTTGTGTTTTGGTGCATGAATGGCCGTGAGTCACGCATTTGACTCATAAGGAGATATTGCGGCTAACTGCTTGAGGAACTACTACCGGCAAACGAGGCTTGGAACACTGCACTTCAGGACGATATCGAAACAATGGAGGAGAAGCGGGGAGAGGTACGCCGAACGCCGGTTTTTGCATAATTTGTTTGCATCTATTCACGACTATGATGATAAGGTGAAACTACCATCATCTTTACGATCCAGTTTCTTGGTTGTCTGGCGGTCCGCGCGGCACGAATGCAGCAATTTGGGAGAAACAAGCTCAACTGATGGCGACCGAGCTAGCAAGCGTCTTCCTTATGGATTATGGCTTGCGGTGTGCTGCATGTACTTGAGAGTTTATCGATTAGCGAAATCATGCTACATGGGATATCATAGTGAACGCGTTGAAGATGCTGTTATTGTCACTGACGGATGTTGAAGTGGTACGATACTGGTGCCGATGTTCGACCCGACTTAGCATTAGTTCAAGCCCCACACCACGAATTGCACATGTGGCGCTTCTGCTGATGGTCGATGTACATAGAGACGTACGTGTTCAGCTCAGTGGTATGCTGGATCGCATGTGCAACGACGAAAACCCACTGGTTCGTCGCGCTGTTACTACAATCATTGGTGACCCCCCTTGCTACAGTAGTGGTTCTCCCGTTGAAGACGACATACCCTCTTTCAATCGACGTGTTTGTGGCTGTAAGAATAGGATTGGCTCAGTATATTGGTCGCTTGCTGTAGTTCATCGGCTGCTCCTACTACGATGATCTGGTCCATATTCTTGTCCAGCCTTAGACGAAAGTCAAGATGCTACTGTGCGTGCGTTGCTCTTAGAAGAGATGGTACGCTACTTGTTCTCGCAAACTGTGACGACTCAAATTTTTCGGCCAGTTCGGCAACGACGCTCGACTCAAAGTTGACGTCATCATCGGTCTCGTTAGACTGATGCAGATATGTGATCTCTTGTGGATCCACATACCGTTTCAGACGACCCTCGTGGAATACGGGGTGCGTCCTCATATACGATGGGAGATTGAGACAATAGTTTAGGTCTTCAACCTCCGCGAACACCTTAAATGTCCCAATGAATCGGGGCAATAGCTTAGTAGTACCACCAGGTAGTACAGAGATTGCATATTTAGGTAGGGTAGCAGTACTTAATAGCACTTTGTCCCCAACACTAAAGTGTTCATTGTTTTTGCGACCATGTTGGTCCGCATATTTTTTTGCTTGTCCTGTGCACTTGCCATCGCGTCACTGACTTTACGTGTGATGGCTAATCGCTCATCCACGAAGCGCTGAGCTTCATTCACGCTTTTAGCATCCCAGCTACCCCAAGAGGTCGGTCATGGGTCGGCGCTGTTTATAACTCGATAGTGTCATCGTTAAAGAGCACAGGCATTTCTTGCCGTGCCTCCTCATTGACACCTAAGGGCCGTGACCACTGCTAAAGTAGCAGTGTCACTAGGGCAACCTTGGTCCTTTTTGGCATTTGAACCGAGCGAAGTGAGGGGCCCTCCCCCACTAAGGCTCAGGCTGTGCACAAACCCGATGGTGTCCGAGGATGGCGCAGTCCGTTAATGTGAAACGGTGTTTCACCCGTACTGGCGTGAACACTGTTATTAATAGCAAATTCACGAATGGCAACTCGTGAATTTGCTATTAAAAACAGTGTTGCTTTCTTTATTCTTTAGGAGTCGCTACAGTACGCAACACATCCGCCACGACTCGATGGCTCGTTCTGTTTGGCCATCAGTTTGGGGATGATCAGCGGTTGACATGTGGAGCTTGCTACCCAGCAGCTCAAACACATGTCGCCAAAACCTGACGTAAAACGCGGATCCCGATCCGATACTATGGATTCGGGTATTTCGTGAAGTCGGTACACGTGATACAGAAACAAGAGGGCAGCCTCTTTTCCTGAAATCTTGGTGCTACATGGTGCCAAATGCACCATCTTGCTCAGTCTATCTACAGAGACGACGAGCCCCGTCCTGCCTTTATGGTCAGGCGGTAAGCCAAACATGAAGTCCAACTGACCGAATTCCAACATTCAGTTGGAATCGGCAGTGGCTTAGTGGCGCTCTGTTGGAAGGTACAGGCTTTATGCGCTGACACTCTTCGCAAGAGCAAATATAGTTGGTCACCCGCCGATATAGCTGGGGCCACCAAAATTTCTCTGACACTCGTAAGAATGTCGTATCACGGCCCAAATGCCCACTAGATGGCGCATCATGGCACTCGTGAAGTATCATCGTCTTTAGATCTGTGTCAGGAGGGACATAGATTCTCAAGGGATCACAGGGTGACAGTTGATGCCATAACAGGCCATCACTGTAACTAAAGCGATTTAGTTTCGCTTTGAGGTGCGACGGAAGGGTAACCTTTCGTCCACCAAAATGATCCAACATAGGCGACAATGTGCGTCCTTCTTGTAGCACTCCTCTATATCGGAGGCCATTGAGCTCGTCACATGGTTGGCCTTCATGGCTGCCAGTGTTGACGACTAACCTTGTGCTTTCGCACGAGACACACTTTCCTGGTGTCTTGCCTCGAAGTCTGGTCTGCGCGATAACGCGTCAGCCAAGACATTTGACTTACCCGGCTTATAATCAATTTTGAATTAAATTCAGAGAAGAATGTTAGCCATCTCGCCATTCTCGGCGAGAGGTGCGGTGAATTTATAGCGATCCGTAGTGATGCGTGATCCGTATAAACCACAAAAGGTTCGGTGCACACAAAACTTAACAAGAGCATACTTTAGTGAAAGTAGCTCCTTGTCATACACAAGGTCACTCAGCTCTGCGGCTTTCAAAAGCCAAGACTGATACGAAATGACAGTTGAAACTTCAAGTCAATAGTGGTACTATCACCAAGGCCCCAGATCATCCATTACCTTCTTTCGTGATGTCACGATCTAAATCATTACATGTCACAGGCAGATTAACAAAACTGCACTTCTATACATCTCATTCTGGGATTAACCCTCACGGACACAATACACAATCTTCTTCGATCTAGAGTCCTCCGGTAACTGGATCTGAGCCCAAAACCACTTCCCAAAGTTTAAAAGAAGAACATCATGGACCCGCTGGTCGATGACGATGACACTCCAATGCCTGAGAGCCATCTAACTCGATCCAGCCCTTCCTCATCAATAACTTTCCTTATAAGTATTACATCAGCGAGCCAAGAAAACACCTCTCTCACGCTCGCGGGCCCGATGGCCCTCACTGAAGCAGCATCAGTAATGATGTTTCAAGCGCGTTTGCTTCAAACAATTGAGCTTGCATCCGTTCCTCAAATGAAACAGCTTCTTATGAGCGCAACAAACGCCGCTCTTGAAGCCAGCGCCATGATTGCTACTTTCCCACTCGAAATGCAAGCCACTTTAGTCAATGAAGATGCTGTGGCTGGAGAAGACAATGCTTCAACAATTGTCACTGCAACTCCAAAACAAGTCGGCATCCTCACACATTACAATCAGGAGCTCCACAATCTACTACAAACCTTCCAGCATGACGTCGCAACAATTCGAGATCAGCGCAATGCACTGCAAGATACAGTAAACCAACTTATCGAACACCGTTTCAAGCTAATTGAAGACATCGCCAACCAACGCATCCAGTTCAATACACAACTCGACAGTAAAACCGCTGAGGCAACTGCAGCAAATACAGCATTGTTTGAACGCACACGATCAATACACGAACAAATTGAGAGAGCCGAGCAACATATTAAAACGACACTTTACAACTGCCGCGTAGAGCACCAAGTAGTCGCGGAACGATTACATCAAATAATTACTCGTCTCTCACAGCGCAACGAACGTCCTCAATCCGAGCATGTCAAGAACATGGTAGCTTTAATTGAGCAACAACTATCAGTCAATCTGCTCAGTATTCGTTGGCCTGCACACTTCAAGCCGAGCACGAAGTTCGAGACCAGCTTACAAAATTAAAATATCATCATCGTGTCGCCCAGGAAGAGGCGCTAAGTCGTATCACTGTAGTCCAACACATTAAAAATTTCATGGAGATTAAATTGGTACAAGAAACCGCTCGAGTCAGTGCTGCCGAAGATCGCCTGGCTGCAGAAATAGAGACTCGAGCTTCCTTGGAAGAGCGAATTCAGTCCCTGCAATGTCGCTACGAATTAGTTTTGGGCGATACACTTCCGCCACTTTCGACCCACACCACATCACGTATGGACCGTGATCAACCTTCACCTATTAATTCTGAAAACCTTTCGATTAATCTGGCTCATGAAGAAGCTCAAGTGCCACTTCCGACCAATAATTCTGTGCCACCGCACACCCAACGGTTGTCAGCACCGACACAAAACACACCACCACCGCAGGTATCAGGTTCATCTCCAGGACTAGCTCTATCTCAAAATTTAGCTGCAGACCCAAGTTTTCCATCGCCAGCTTCAAGTCCTGTCCTCATACCTCCAGTGCTAGCGCCACATACGGAACTCCGGATCAAGGAAGTCAAGTGTGAGATGTTTACCGGCAAGGATAAATACCCTGGTCTTGGGGGCGGCTTTGATCTTTTTATGCGCAAATTTGAACAAGCCATTCTAAGTTAAAGTCGATGTAACAACTTGACGTATACGGATGAATTACGTGAGACGTTTCTCGTCACCTTTCTTATCGGCGCCGCCTCGGACTTTTATTTTCAGTTCCTGGACGAGTTTATCGACTCACACAACCGCAACCCTTTCGTACCAAGAAGTCCAAGCAGCTTTGCGTGAAGAGCTCCGGTGCAAGCTATCGCAATCACGCCTAAGCGACTATCTAAACAAGCCTAAGAAGCTAGAGAAAATATGGTACGGGTACTACACATATCTGCGCCACGTTGGGAAAGAAATGGGCGGTGATCAAAACGCCCTTATCCTGGGCATTTTGCAAAAATGCCTCCACAGATCCAGGGATCCTGCTTCAGCTCGCCAGCGTCATCGACTACAAGCTACCAACATCAAAGACGAAATCAATAAAGCTTTTACGCTCCTGACGGAGCTTTCGGTGATGGCCGCAAGTCGAATAGCCACAGCCAGCGTTATTCAAATGCAAAGGAAAATATAAATAGAGCCCCTGCAGCTTCAGCGACAGCAACTACGCAAGCTTCAGTAGAACCCAAATTACCTTAGTGCAGCTCCACGAGTCGCTCTCGACCCAAAGACAGCATTAAACCATGCTGGGTCTGCAAGACGACAAAACACAAAACATTTGACTGCCCAGTGATCCAAAACGCTTAACGCCGAGTCGGACAAGCCAACGTTATTAACGCAGTAACCCCTACTGATCATTCCGCCGAATTGTATGTCGTCGAAGGTGCTGACGACACTATTATTGACTCAATTGGGGAATGTTTCTTTCTCGGGTCGGCAGAAGAGTGTATCGATCATGGATCTCCGTTGGATTCTCCTACCCCTCATGCCTTTATTGGTGCTGAAACTTGCATCGTACTTTAATCCCGCTACGCTAAGTTGCCAACTTTGACAAGTGTCTTATTGACAGCGGCGCTACCCATCATTTCACGAACAATGCAGCTGCCATTATCACGCCCACAACCAGTTTCTTACGAGTCCGCGTCGCAAATGGTTCCGTGCTTCAGGCCGTCAGCAAAGGCAGTGTACTGCTAAAGACGATTACAAACGGAACGGTTGCCCGATTTGTGCTCTCTGATGTGCGCTACTTCCCCGCCATGCCACGAAACCTGCTTCTGTTTCTAAGCTTATCGATCAAGACTTTGTGGTTTCATTCTCCAGTCACTGTACGCTCTCTACAAATGATCGTATCGTCGCCCGTACCCCTCGCGAATTACGTCTTTGGCCACTTTCCGCAATATCTGATACTGCTGATGAGGCTGCTGCTTTTCTCGCTCGAATTGACAGCTCCACCCTTCGCAAGTGGAATGAGCGGCTAGGTCATTTGAACTACCAATATGTTGTTCGTATGGCTGACAAGGGGCTTGCCGCCGGTATAAAGCTGACAAATCGAACTATGCCTTTTTGTATGCAGTTTGCTGAAGCTAAGCAAACTCGCAACCGTCAAGGTAAACAAGACACTTCGAGATCAGCTCCTATAGACGAGGTTAGTGCCATCATCGGCTTAGACCTTGAGATTAATATCTCCCCAGTCGACCGGAAGGGACACAAGCACGTTCTCACCCTTGTTGACTATGCTTGTGGGTACAACTGTGTCTACTTGCTGAAGACGAGAAATGAAGCCTTCGACAACTTCGTAAATTTTCACGCACAGTTTCAACGGCAATTGATGCTCGAGTCAGATGCATTCGTTCGGTTCCTGGTGGTGAATTTGTCAATGACAAGATGAAGCAATATTTGCAGCGCCATGGATACTACATCAGACAACCGAAAGACACTGCCGTTCAAAATGGCGAGGCCGAGTGCTGCCATCGCACGCTGTTAATACAACTCGAGCAATGCTCTGGTCATCTGGCATGCAGACAAAATTTTAAGGGGACGCTATACTCTACGCCAGTGCAATGCGCAACTACCTCCCTACCCGCGGTAATGCAGACCGCCGTTCACCCCTCGAAATACTTACGGGAAAAATACCCGACGTCAGCCACTTGCTCAAATACGGTGCCCGCTGCATTGTAAGGCTAGAGCATGCAGTTGCAAAGTCGCTTCGGAAATGCTCCGAACAGGCGTTCATCCTCGGCATCGACCCCGTTAACAATGGCTACAATCTCTATCTTCCCCGTACCAAGACGTATGTAACCAGCTCCAACATCCAAAATGTCTACTGCGTTGACATCGATGCCGCTGGTGACCTCGTCGACACCTTCGATACACTTGACGTTGTCCCCAGCACTTTTCAACCCCATGCACAGCAAATGTCCGATCGTGCCGCTACCACCGACGATCTTTACAAGACCACGCCAGTGTCTGAGGGGAAGCCATCCCCCGATCATCTTGATCGGAACAGTGAAGTTCCAGGCAGCGACGACGACGATGACTACAAGACAGGCGAACCCATTGACGACATCACACTGACCAAGCGCCAAATCGACAGTGTATTTGGGGTCCAAAAGCGCGGTGCCCAACTTCTTATTGAAGGCTTTGAGCTACCTGTGTCGCTTCTTCTCGACGCCACCAGTATTTCCGGTGCAGCAATGATGGCCCTTCATATCTCTGATGGTGCTCCGTACCCTCAGAATATTTGCGAAGCTATGGCAAGTACATTTTTTTGGCCACAGCTTAAGGAAGCTATGATTCAAAAGCTGGACCAGTTGTGTAAGAATGGTACATGGGAGGAAGCCGTCCGACCACCTGGGGCCAAGGTCGTGTCAACAAGATGGGTTTTCAAGATCAAATACAACTCGATGGGAGAAATCGACAAGGTTAAGGCCCGTCTCGTGGCAAGAGGATTCACCCAACGCTATGGTGTCGATGCCAGCGAAACATACTCTGCGGTACTCAAAATGGCAAGCGCGCGATTTCTTATCACGATTGGAGCTCAGTGGGGCTGTAAAGTTCGCCATGGTGACGTTTGCAACGCCTATCTTCGTGCACCGATTGATCGCCCGATTTACGTGAAACCGCCACACGGATGCCCAGACGAAGTAGCAGTTTATCGATTGCTGAAGAGCCTTTACGGATTAAAACAGAGCGGAAGACTTTGGAACGACTTTATTCATAGCTTTCTTCTCGAGTGTGGTTACACATGAAGCCGCCAAGATCCGTGCATCTACTTTAAACATGAATCCATCGGCACTACAGTTGTCGGCCTTTACGTCGACGATGTCATTATAATTGCAAAGTTGACTCCCTATATGAGACTCTTATGCAACAGCTCCACGACAAATTCGATATCAACGATTTGTGATTAATCAGAAAGTGCCTCGGTATTAATGTGGACACAATGGATTACGGCTACTTTCTTCAACAACAGCACAACATCGATGCTCTCCTCGCCAGGCTCGAAATGACGAATTGTACCACCCGTTCGACGCCAATGGAAGAAAAACACAAGCTATACGATCCAAACTCGAACCTTTAATCAAACAAACGACTCTCTCAAGAAGTTATGGGGTCATTATTGTAGATCTCCAACTTCACTCGTCCCGATATCACTTCGACCGTAAATCTTATGCGTAGAGCGACACACGCACCCACCACCGACCACTCTAATTGTGTAATGCGCCTCATGCGATATCTCAAAGGCACTTTGACTCACGGCATTTTCATCAAGAAGCTCAATTCGGTTCAATCGCAACCACGCCTGAAAGTCTACAGTGACGCATCATGGGCCGATTTTAAGCTAGACGCTAAGTCCACGACCGGTGTTCTCCTAACAATGAATGATTCGCCTATATCGTGGTATTACAAGAAGCAGCCCGTCGTCGCATTATCTACCATGGAAGCTGAGTACATTTCTGGTGCAACAGGTGTGACTGGATGTCTCTGGGTAAAAAATCCTATCGGAGCTTAAACTCACAACAAACCACGAACCGCTTTCGCTAATTGTTGACAATCAAGCTGCAATTATGAACATGGAGAACAGCGTCAGCTCACCTCGCAGCAAGCACATCAACATCCAATTACTTTTTGTTCGCTACAATGTACATGCCAAGCGTGTCACGGTCCACTACTGCTCAACATCAGAAATGCTTGCAGACATCCTGACCAAACCACTTGGGCGTATTAAGCATGCCCGCTTCACCAGAGCACTGCACGTCATGAGTCAAGATGAGTTCAAGGTCATCAGCTAAGCCCTGCTTGACTTTTGCGGGGGAGAATTAAAACTTCAAGTCAACAGTGGTACTATCACCAAGGCCCCAGATCATCCATTACCTTTTTTCGTGATGTCACGATCTACATCATTACATGTCACAGGCAGATTAACACAACTGCACTTCTATACATCTCATTCTGGGATTAACCCTCACGGACACAATACACAATCTTCTTCGATCTAGAGTACTCTGCCAACTATGACACGGTCAATTGCGCTGTCATCCTTCTACATGAGCGCGCTGCCGATTGCAAAATTGCTTGCATCGCAGACGACTCTAAGGGGCTTATCCGCGTCTGGCAATACCAAGACCGGTGCATCTACCAGAAATTGCTTCACTAAAGTGAACGCATCTTCTTGCTCCTTTGACCAAGTCCCTATTCTGTATCCTTTTTCAAAAGATCAGACAATGGCTTAGTATGCTCCGCATAATTCTTGCTGTACTTATGCAAGTAATTAGCGAGCCCAAGTAATTGGCGCAGATCCTTCACATGACGTGGGACTGGCCATTTCTTTACAGCCTTTACATTTTCTGGGTCTGCTCGTACACCGTGTGCACCTACGATGCAGCCCAGGCATCTCGGGGACCCTTATTACGCACTTTTGCAAATTTACGTATAATTGAGCGTCACCCAGAGTCTGCAACACAGCGTCTAAATGACGCTTGTGCGGCTCTATCGCGCGCAGACCGTCCTCTGCTTTACTATGCACGAATACATCGTCAAAGTAATGGGGGACGTAGGCACGGTGCTGACGCATCACGTGAGCCACCACTCGGTTTAATGTTGCCGGAGCATTTTTCAACCCTTGTGGCATCACAAGCCACTCCCATAGCATACCGCTTGGGGTGCTTACTGCCGTTTTGGCTACATCAGTATCTCTCATGAGAACTTGATAGTAGCCATCCTTCAGATCCAACGCGGAAAAGATAGTTGACTTTCCCATGGAGTTCAACAAGACATCTTTCCGCGTGATCGGCGTTTGCGTCGGAATGGTGGCCTTGTTCAGCTTACTATTAGTATGAACCACGCGCCACCCACCTGTTGCTTTACGCACACAGAAGGTCGGGCTGCAGTGAGGCGACTTGCTCTCACGTGCATGTCCCGACTTAGCTCGCTTGTCGAAGAACTCATCGATGTAATCGACTTGTTCCTTCGGCAACGGCCATTGCCTGGTCACACAATACTTGGTGCCAGGCTCCAGGTTAATCTCGTGCCTGATGCCCCTATCGGCCGGTAGGCGGCTCGGCACTTCTGCTGGAAACACATCACGGTGTTTCCACAACACATCATAGAACGGGCTGTCCTTCCAGGCATCCCAGCCTTGAGCAGAGAACCGTTTCTTCTTGTCTGTTTCCAAGACGCTCTCGTCCATTGTGGACGACGAGCAACAGTCCATCACGTTCTCTCCTGGAACTGGTGCGACTATCTCGTGGATCTTTCCTTCCTTTGGTTCGGACAGGAGCAGATCCCACGTCAACTCCGAGAGACTTGCTATCTCCTCACCAGATGTCAATACAAGTTGGAGCACCTCAACTGAGGATGCCTATGATCCTCGCGAAGATACACCGGCTGTGTCTACGACGGACGCTAATGACGACGATTGCATCGCGTGTGCGACGCTTGGAATTAATATTATTAATCTTTCCGCGGTCAACCCGTTGCGTGATGACATCGCAGAGACGTATTCACGTGATTTGTTTTATTTACCTATCGTCCGCTGCTGTAGCGACCCTTTGGATGAAGCATTGCTCTCACTCTCACTTTCCACTCGCGCCGACATTGCGCAGTACTCCTTCGATGGCAAGTTGCTCAAGTATCAAAATTGATCAGTTTGACACTCCTCGTATCGTCGTCCCACTCGACGACGATCTGCGTGCCCTGTTCTCCACTATCACCACGATAGCGCCAGCAGCGGCCATCTGGGTCGCAAGAAGACGTATCTCGCGCTGTCTCGGAATTTTCTATTGTTACCACATGTATAAATGGGTCCGCAAGTGGGTTCGGTCCTGTGAGGTGTGCCAGTGTGTGAAGCCGGCCAATTCGGCATAGGCCCCGCTATGCTCTACCGATAGACGCTAGTCTTTGGAATTCCGTGAGAGTGTATTTCGTTATTGGATTGCCAGCCGATGCGCATGGGCACACAGGCATACTAGTCATTGTAAACAGGTTTAGTAAGATGGCGCATCTCTCACCTGTCGCTGCTTCCATCGCGGCTCAAGATACCGAGGCTCTCTCTGTAGAAATGGTTTTCAAGCTTATGGCATGCCCGCCACGATTGTATCCGATCGCGATTCTCGATTTATGGCCACATTTTGGTCTTGCTTGTTCGAGATTCTCGGCACTCTTCTGATAATGTCTACCACCGTGCATTCTGAAACGGATGGACAGACCGATCGAGTCAATCGCGTGATGAAGGAAGTTATGCGCAGGTACGCCACGTCTTTTACGTCATAAAGCGAGTTTCCTCTTCATGACTAAGTTCGCGATGAAAAATTCGGTTTACGCTTCGACTGGTTTAACTCCCTTTTTTTGTGAATAACGCCCACCATCCGCGCGTCCCATCTCTTCTTGGCTTGGCCAATTCTTCTACTCTTGTAGGGGAAGGGATACCGGATGTCTCGGTGGAACTGGCGTCCTTGCAAAAGACATTACCCGAATCGCAACACTCAATGCAAAAGCTTTCCAAGTCACAGAACATTTCTTCTCCGGCTAGCGCAGCTCTGTCTCCATCGGGAGTCCATCTGTCGTACTTTACGTTGGGCGACGAATTTTTCATACATCGTCATTCGGTCGCTCGATTTGTGCGCGACTCCATTGCCGCTGAGTTCGAAAAGCAGAAGACGTCCGCAGACCAGCGCGGACGCAAGAACCTTGAGAAGTTTAAGGTTGGTGATTTGGTTCTATTTCGACGACAAACATACCCGACGCATTAGTTACAAATCTCGGCAAATCGAAGCTAGCACCACGGCATATTGGTCCATTTAAAGTAATTAATGTGAACGGGCGCCTACAAACTGAACCTCTCTTCGTTAATACGTCTACACCCAACTTTCTACGTCGGTCGTCTCAAGCGTTATTGGCCAGTGGTCCTCCCGTCGACGACTGAACTGAGGCAGGTGCATAACGCAATCCCTGATAACTCGGAGGTCTTGGCGGATCGAACTAGTGTAGCCCGCGCAACTCAGCGTTGTCTCGTCGAAGAGCAGCATTTGACTGCTCCAAACGCTCTAGTCGCCAAGCGAACCCAGATAACGCAGAAAAAGCCTCCTCCTCGAAACTCTCCGCAGTCTCAGCCAGTTCCCGTGCTTGACTTGCATCATATTCTACGAACGTCACCCACTGATCAACCTCCTGGAGCTGCGCCACGATCGAAGGAGTCGGCACCGGTCATTTAGGCTTCGGTGTCTCACGCTGCGTTTCAGCGCGACGGTCCACCCCCGCTGGTATACAGCGCTGGAAATCGACGTTGGCTTGTGTAAAGAATCTTGGAATATCGTGACCCGCCTTCAAACTGTTTATGAGGATACCTGCGCTCAGAAAAACCTTGTTCCGGAAACGCGATATTATCGCGATCGCTGGCTCGGTTTTCCCTTAATTAGCGATACGTGAGAACCTCGCGCAACACTTCTCGCGGATGTTCCAGATATCGTGAGCGAATACGACCGGGAAATGAGCAGGATCGCGAGCGTCTTAGAAGATCGCGATATTGGAGGACTCGCTGATCGAGACCGCGGCTCAGGTCGCAATACTGGAAACATCGTCGTTCGAGAGCGAGTTCTTTGGGTCAGTGCGGAGTTTTGACGCACGTCTACATTCATTCGAGTCCACCCATTCGCCCATTGGTGTTCATCGCAGACTCGCTCATACCTCCCAACCCACGTGCACTCCTCCTCGGAAAACGAACAATCGCCAAGAATGGTCATCCATTGAGCGCGAATTTGGCCGCGCTTCACCGAGGAGTTCGAAATGATGACAACGCTCTCGCAAGTGCACGAAGCAAGAGGGGCGGTCCTCGGCCTACGACAACTCACATACCATCTCGTGGGTTTCTGTGAGCCCATAACGTCGACGTTGTTCTTCGCGTAAAAGTATGAGCTCGGCAAAAGACGTCTCGTTGTTACACCGGCGGACGGATGAGGTACAAGACTCGTCCAGCGAAGCTTGCTGTGGTGAAGTGCTTGTTTTAGGATATGGAGATCCCAGAAGCCATTTTGATACGGAGTATAGACCGTGTATCAGGGAAAAGAGACCAGACAGACAGAGGCTTCGAGGGAAGCGACCGTTGGCGGAGAACAATCTGCAGGGCCCCAGGAGAGAAATCAGTATCAGGGTACCGATTAATCGGTACCGAAAGGAGTCGACCATGGTCCCCTTTGAAAGGCCCGGTCCCTCAATGGTGGATCCGGTCCCTCATTAGTTGACCCAGTTCCTAATCGGGGGGGGTCCCTCGTCAGCTGACCTCGATCCCTCATCGGTAGACCCGGCCCTTCATTCGTCGACCCGATCCCTCATGGGTACACCTCGGCCCCTCGTTGGTAGACCTGGGTCCCTCGTCGGTCGACCTCGGCCCCTCGTCGGTAGAAATCCGATCATCGGTAGACCTGGTCCCTCGTCGTCCAGCCACTCCTGACCAGTTGATCAGGCCAGTCGACGGAAGGAATTAAAGCTTCAGGCAAGGATAGATTAAAGGAGTTAAAAAGATAGTACTATATGAAATACTACTCAATTTGCGATCTACGTGGCACGACTCCGTCACCCAAAAAGAACTTGCTTAAAGCTCCCACCTGATCCGGGAAGGGGTACATTTTGGCCTCCCGTTGAAGACAGTTGCGTGGTTAAGTTCAAGTGCGAATAGAGCTTTAGGATCTCTAATTGGCCTGTGAGCTCGTTCGAGTAGCAACACCCCCCTCCCCCCGACCCTATATTGGAAGCCGTCTCCCTTACCTCACGGTCCGGGAGCAAAGTAAAGATCAGATGGTTAATACCCCTAAGACAACCTAGGAAAAGGCCAGGGACGACAAGCTACCTGAAAACTCTGGTATTAAGTGCACTCTCGACTAGTGTTTTACTGACCTCGAGTAAAGCATAATCACTCGAGGCCTTCAGGTCTACCTCCCTCCAGGCAGACATCTACATCCTCACCCAAGGCCTTCGAAGAGTGCAAGCCGAGAGCCAACGGCATTGGTACAAAATCATAAAGGGCTACTTGTGCCGTTAACTTTACAAGCCGAACACTCAAGACGAATGAGCTGAACTACAGTACTGTGAAGAAAGAAGTGTTGGCGTTGTTGCGGATATAGGAAACTTGTTTTACGATGTTGGTCACCCGATTTCTCAAGGTCCTGACTACACATTCGACATTGGCATGGTTAGTCAGATCTTCCAGGTTGCAGGGACGCTTGGGAAAATTTGGTCGCCCTCTTGTCCCAGTGGTCTTTAGAGATTGTGAAGTGTATGAAATGCGAAGACCAGGTGCTGGGAGCGTTGGCGGCCAGTATCATCCCTACAGAAAGTGTGGACTCGACGTTGTCGTCAATTGCTCCTAAGAAGTAGGCAAGACAGTCGATCGACCTACCTACACGCCAGAATTTGTAAGGTCGTCCGGCTCATCATTCAAATCGACAATCGATTAGTGGTAATTTATTATTTTTAAATTTCAAACCAATTGCAGAATGCGGTGCGTCAATTAAATGATACTGCCCTATCCATCTGGATCCAATAAGGATGTACTGGACTACATGCTCTAACGAATTCATTGCTCTTTTTCTTTCGATTTGAACGATCGGTCGGTCTCGAACGAGTGGAGAATATGAAAATGGGATGCTAATGAATCTTCATCACCCTCGTAATAGCTGGGACAGTTGACAAGTCGGTGTCAGTTAGATAATAAAATGAATTTTAATACAGCACATGTTAACCTGCTTGAGCTGTACGTACATAATAAGTTGAACATCGGCACCGTGAAGCTTCATTTTCTTCACAAAACTGTTCACTTCGGCTTTAACCCATGGTCGCGTCCTGGCACTGTATTGATACGGTGTAACGTGTACGAATAACCTAAGCCGTCTGAGACGACAGCAACAACAACAACATCGAACAAGAGTCAGTTTTTACGCCCAAAAAGTGTCAGTTGTGAATCATACTCGTATCGTGAAAGCACAAACAAAGCAAGCTCTTCCGTAGGCATTGCACCTTCTAGCAACCCATTGCCGGAATCCAGCCAATGAATCGAATTGATCTGTCCATTACACAAAAGCAGATTGTAAGACGATCCATTCCATACAATTACAGAAAGAGGAGGTCAATCACTTACAGCTGAAAAGAATTGTCGCGTGCTTGCAAAGGCAGACCCCTGTCGAATCTGACCGCTACTCGAGCGTTTCTTATTGAACGAGTATCGCACGAGTTCCGTCACAAGTTGATTCAGAACAGCACCACCTTTGCTAAAACCTAAAAGATGCATTGGGAGTGCCATCGATATATTGACTACATTCAATAGCAACAAAATTGACTGTTAAATAGTAACCATACATTCGAAGCAGAAAACAAAGAATAGGGTACAGACCTCCTTGTCGTCTCAATGTCGCCTGAGTATTTTGAATTAAAGATGCTAAATGCTTGGTTGCGAAAGCTGTAGGATCATCTGTAGCATACACAAACAGCAATTCAGTGCTCTAATGTCACATTTTGACAAACAAATACTACAAAGTTATTCATTTACATTTTGTTGCTGCTCCGTATTCATTGGTAGTCACGAAATTGTCAAAACTGCTGTAGGCTCCATGTTTAAAGCAATTGGGTTTTACTACCCATACATTGCAAGTATCTCCAAACTTTTTATTCAGTAGTTCCGCTACCGTCTCATAGGAGTAGTCACTATATTCAGCAAAAGGTCCTGCGTCCCTGACAAAGTAGCAGCCAATTTACATAAGTATACAACCCATTTGCGTCAAAAGGTGGTACCAACAGTTGTTTACATAGTGGCTTTAAAATCTTGAACGTCCCCAGGGAAGAAAAGAATATTGCAATGTCCCGTGACATTTCTGGGTATTGAGATATACAGTTCATTTTCTCTGCCACAAAGAAAAGAATATTCAAATCAATATATTCTTACAATAACAAACATCATGTTGGACCTCTTACGTATCCGTTTACCTGTCAAGCCAACCACGACTACGCAATCGGAAGAATAAACGATTTACACCATTGTTTTGATTGCTCGAGGGTGATTCATGTGGTAATGGTTCATGACGTGCCTCATTCTGGCATGTGATGCCCAGTGCTGACGCCATGTAACTCCACATTGACAAAGAATATCAGGAATGGGTCAGCAGGCGGGCTATATATACAATACAACAGTAAATCTGATAATACATGCGATCAGAGTGTGATTTTGTAGTGTGCTTTGTCTGTGAAAACGAATAACCTTGTATTTTTGTTCGATGTTGTAAACACGTTTTTACTGGTGAATGAAAATGTAGTTCTTGTTACTTCAAGCATGTCGTTAAAATTGTTCTATTTTCGATCCAAAAATAAGTAAAGTAGGTGCTTGACATGCCAAAGGTGCAGGTATTTATTTCATAAGAAAAATGAGAATAAACATAGGAATTAATGCAGTAGTAAAATTACTTCTGATCGAAACAAACCTTTGCGTCTCGCTAATAAACCGACCCGTAACGAAGCTCGATCCATTGCTCTTAGATACGCTGGCGCGTCGCGTGTCTAAGAGCGATGAATCGAGCTTCCAATTGGACTTCCAAGCGATCGACACATTCCTCGCTGGACGGGGCTGAAAGGCCAGCTAGCGGAGGACCAACGAGCAAATTACTGTTGATCCCAACTGCCAAGTAACGTCCTCCTGGTCGCTGACCACCATCGATTTGAACCGAAAACTTCAGCACGAAGTCACGCGAGTCAACATCGACAGGAGCTGCCAAAGCCTCCTTCGACTGCATCATTACTTCCGTCTGCTCTACCTGTTCCAGCTCCGACCACCTGTTCCAGCTTTGACAATAACAAAGACACATTGTACACCTCCAAGTCATCGATCCAACCGCACGTGGTCGATCGATCAGCTACTTCATCTTGGCTAGCAACATCATATTCTCCCTAAAGCAGTAAACAAATCGGCCACCAATTCTACATTCTCAACGTCCTCACAGTCAGCAAGCGAATCCCATGTAGACGAACCCTCTACCGATTCGACCGATTCCTTGTTTTTCAACGTCAAGAAAATCTTCAACAGCATCGCTACCCGTTCTCCGCGTCCGCTTTTTTCTATACTCGACTAGCTGTCACATCACTAAATGAGTCAACGAGCTCCAGTGATTAATAAACTCACACATCTGTCTTTGTCTTCAGTTGCGTCCATGTCGACGACGTCTACGACAGGAAACAACATCACCACTTGGTCGGTACTGCACGTCTTGCTTATGTCATAGCACGAGAACATCGGACTAATCTTCTCCACATTATCATCATCATTCTTATCAGGGATGACATTAATGTCCACCCTCTTCGTTCCTTTCTGCTCCACGTACGAGAACAACTCATTAAAGTCGTCCGCGATGGCCGCATCCTCTACTTCTTCCACATCTTTCTGCTTTCTTTTTCTCCATCATCTTTTTCTGTTTCAATATCCTCCTCAAACTTGCCCACAATAGCGTTCTGACAAGCAGTTGCCACTTCCAAAGTGCTTTCTGGTATCAGCGACCGACATTCATTCCAATCTACAAACGTGGCTGTCAAGAGAACGTCAGAAAGCGCATTTCCAACATCTAAGCGACGAGAATAGTCTAGCGAAGTCTAAGCCATTCTGAGCCTCGTGTTTCAGACGAGTCGTAAAGGTGGCATTCGTCTTAAGAACGCTCACAAGCGGCAGAAAGTCCGGCAAGCAAAGAGTGCAGAGTATAGCTTGGTCAAAAGGAAACACGATAAGGAAGAGAAGCAGCAGAAGGCAGTCAAAGAGTGAGCTAAGTAAGACAGCCACACACCCGTTGGATTCATGGTGAATTGGTGTCTTAAGGAACAAATGAGGGTTTAAGAGATATGTGATTGGCTGAAATTAGAATGACAAGTTATTAGAGTAAAGGTTCTATATTTGTATCCTGCATAAACACAAGACACAGAAAACGCTGCTTTTGACAGAAAAAGGTCTGATTTTACGCATTGTGACAATGGATGAGTACGAATGACTACCGGTTCGTTCTTTTTTTTGTGTGAGTGATGGTCTTGCAGTTATACAACATGCAGGACTGTGTCTTGCTGCTACTAAATCAGTGCAGCAACTTTGCGATGTCTGATGCAAAGTCCACCCTTGCGAGCGGCTTGGAAACATTCTGGTGCAGCGCAGCGTTTGCCTCCACCGTGACTGTAGCAGAATCCACCGGCCTGTGCGCTCTTGCTGCACGCAATAGATGAGCAACGCTTGCCTCCTCCATGTGAGATACAGAAGCCGCCACCGTGTGCACATTTCAAGCAACCATCAATTTTGCATTGTTGTCGTCCGCCATGCATCATACAGAAGCCTTTTCGTCGAGCGACACTGTCACATCCAAAGACTTTGCACTTGCTACCACCACCATGGGCCTTGCAACGTCCGCCACTCTGAGCGACCGTCTGGCAGCCAATGAAGTTGCAGCGTTTGCCACCACCATGGCGAATACAGAAGCCACCGGTCAATGCGTATTTGTGGCAGTCAACGATACCGCATTGACGACGATGATGGACATTCTTGCTACGTTGTGTTGATGTAGTGGAAGACGTATTGGAGGACAGTAAATCGTGTAGTGACAGTGGACGGCGAGTCTTGGGACTGAGGGTTGAAAAAGAAGTTGACTTGGCACTGTTAAAACGGATTGAGGTGGACGATGTCATGCTGGGACTGGTTGGAGAGCCAATTGCAGTTTTTGTTGGACTAGGGGCAGGAGATTGATGAGGAGTGCCGAGGTTGATAAGATCCACGACGCAATGCAGCGGTGGCAGGAAGGAGGAGACAGTGTGTCTTGTGTTGATGGAGAACAATGAGCTGATACTAGGCAGCCGTGTTGGCTTTATTATTTGTCGTCCGGGAATTGCCGGTGTATGTGTCGCCAAGTGGGTCAGAAGAGTAGCGGTAACCTGAAGGTTGTGGAATCGGTGATGGTGTTGGAATCGTGTGGGGACGCCCATGTTTGCCGAATGGAACGGATATAAGTAGAGTGGCGTATGAGGTATTGCTAGGGAAGCAAATAGGAAAATGAGACTACCGTCGGACTGTGTGCAAGAAGAGGTTGAGCGCCGATGTCGCGGTCTGCAGACAGGCAATTCGAGAGCATCCTTCCATGAGGGAGGAGGTGCAGGATCCTACTCGAACGAAAAGCTCCGTCGCTACTCGCGTGATCTGACCTCACATATGAGCGAATTTGCACCGTATTCTCGAAAGAAATCAGCATATCAAAAACAGCTTTCCTTGGCTTCGACAGGCACTACGTCTAACCTTCGAGCATTTTTGGACACCATATAGTCGGTTTGACTTGACGACTTGAATGGATGGCGTCACTATTCGTTTCTTAACGAAGAAGCAAGAGATTATAGCGCGGGATTTATGGCGTGTCGGTGGCTCAGCAAGTGAAAGCGGGCTCTTAACAGAGAGGACACAGGATGGGCTGATAGTGATTACTGGCCTTAGGCCGGCTATATGGGGAAGTAATACTTTTAACCATGACAGGTGATCATTTCGCGTCTTAGTGGTTTATTTACCTGTGGGATCCGATTTCAATCTACGGAGGACTGTCGTCGTCAATAGAACTCTATTGACAAAAGCCTTCAAAACGTAATAAATGCCAAATCCGAATGACCCCGACAGGTGGACGTAGAATTTTTAGGGAATTCCATTCACCATGCGAGACTCGGCCTCATTGTTATCACCATGTAGCCACTGTATCGTCTTAGACGGCCAGTCATCACGCCAACGGTGGACGAAAGATCTTGAGAGCCATGCAAAGGATGTGGGTCACCGAAACAACGATTAGACTTCACGTCGACCGAGCAACAAAGATCCTAAAGTTCTTAATTACTGACACGGTCGGAACTATAATGAGTTCGTCAACATGTTAGACATTTTGCTTGTTCCGACGTATGCATCCTCCTGTACCAAACACAATGGGTCTTACTTTTGTTACAGGTTTCTTGTGTCTCTTTGTCACTGTAGACGATGCTTTACAAAAGCTATAACGTCGCTGGGGACTGGCGTAAGTTCCCTCAACACTCGCTGAGTTGTTTTTGCTCTGAAGAGTCGCTAAGCGATGCGTCACATCGACTCGGTGCAACATTATCAAATCATGAAGCCGAGAGACTAACTGTCTCAGACTGGCTGCGTGTACATGCACATGGCCTGCACAGAGCATCGTCGCTGAACGATATCCTGTCTTGAAGTGACCTTTGGTGATTTTTACCTCTAGCCATTTGTACAAAGACCACATAGTTGAAGTTGAACGTCCGATGCCGATGCTAAACCTTCAGAAAATAATATGTATTCTAGCTGATCAATGACTTGCCAGTCTTACTATGCGTAACATGAATCATAGTAAGCTTCAATTGATGCGCACGATGATGATATCTTTCAAGTGTTAACCACACTGCAGCGTCGCTCTGTAGCACTTGACCGCGCAGACTGCCTGATCAGGCGCTATAGGGTCAGGTGGATGAGGCTGATGTTGACACTTAGAGTCTGAAACAATGAGATGTCGATAGTGGCGTTGAACCGGACGTTAAATATTCAGCACCAATACGTGAGAGTTTGTAAGCTCTGTCTACTAAAACGAACGCCGTGTGATCGACTCTTCATCTTGCTTCAGCGTCAAGACAAAAGACGAAAAGCCGTTCATCGTAGAACGGCTTGGAGTATTCGTGCCATTCGAATTTTGTGACGTGCCATGGACGTACTAGATGTGAGCCCTTTAGTGGACCAAGTAGTGACACTTTGTCAAAATACTGTCGCACAGACGCATTGCGTAAGTTCGTACATGTAATACGCCACCATTTCATAGACCAGTGCTCGACGGTGGGCTCTTCGGTCTTTGGTCGTTTCTCAGAGCCGGTATACTGTAGGAATTATTCAAGGATACAATTGATGAACGTGACATTTTCAATACAAGTAGATGTCGAATCAACCATGACACTTGTAGTTGCTGTAGTCATTGCTACTGCCATCTTGCTATCTGTCCCATTCGCACCTTCGGTTCGGTCGATCTGTACCTGAAGCAACTACACCGAACTGATGCTAATGTGCCTGCCGTCAACAACAAGATCGACCTCAACTGCAGGACACAATTCCAGACGCTCGCGGTGTGGCACCACAATCGACATTTGTGTCCAGCATGTGCAGGGGTGGTGCTACAGCAACGCAATACCGAACATCTTTCGACTCTAGGTACCTACCGAAAAGCCATCGAAACCTACTGTTTCACTACCAGTGCGGTGCGGCGGTACAACGTCGATGCTTGCGGTCACTGCCATACTAAATCAAGTTTTTCTTGATGAGAGATTGGCATTTCCCATAATACGTACGCCTGGCGGGTGGCTCACTGATTGAGATCATAGGCTCAGCTTCAAGCTGCTAAAGCTGCAATGAAGTTGGCTGTACAGAGCCGAAGCTGTGGAAGTGTTGTTACTCGTATATTCATCGTTGAAAGTGTGCTAGTACCGAGCTGGAAGGCAAGCCAACTCTGTTCGCTTGCATATGTACAACGAGCCTATATTCGAGGCAGATCTTCCATCAATCGATCCTGACGAAATAGTTAAAACAAGTCAACTTTGGCTCGCTATAATTGGTAAAATGGCCACATGGTCTAGAGTGTGGTCGACTTATTAGTGTCTACTGGTGTAGCTAGCCATTATTGCATTGATCCAGCGGGACAAGAGATCATATAGCAACCATAATGATGGCATTAGGTTACTAATTATGTATCACTAAAACGTCCCGTATTGCAATTATTATGGTTGTTTTATAAAATACCAGATTCTGACAATATTCTTGTACAAAACTGTCGAGCGGATCTAAAAGTTGTGGTGCTGCTCCATCCGAAATTCTTACTTTGAGCATTTTTGGACACCATATAGTCATTTGACTTGACGACTTGAATGGATGGCGTCACTAATAGTTTTGCAACGAAGAAGCAAAAGATTATAGTGCGGGATTTATGGCGTGTCGGTGGCTCAGCAAGAGAAAGCGGGCTCTCAACAGAGAGGACACAGGATGGGCTGATAGTGATTACTGGCCTTAGGCCGGCTATATGGGGGAGTAATACTTTTAACCATGACAGGTGATCATTTCGCGTCTTAGTGGTTTATTTACCTGTGGGATCCGATTTCAATCTACGGAGGACTGTCGTCGTCAATAGAACTCTATTGACAAAAGCCTTCAAAACGTAATAAATGCCAAATCCGAATGACCCCGACAGGTGGACGTAGAATTTTTAGGGAATTCCATTCACCATGCGAGACTCGGCCTCATTGTTATCACCATGTAGCCACTGTATCGTCTTAGACGGCCAGTCATCACGCCAACGGTGGACGAAAGATCTTGAGAGCCATGCAAAGGATGTGGGTCACCGAAACAACGATTAGACTTCACGTCGACCGAGCAACAAAGATCCTAAAGTTCTTAATTACTGACACGGTCGGAACTATAATGAGTTCGTCAACATGTTAGACATTTTGCTTGTTCCGACGTATGCATCCTCCTGTACCAAACACAATGGGTCTTACTTTTGTTACAGGTTTCTTGTGTCTCTTTGTCACTGTGGACGATGCTTTACAAAAGCTGTAACGTCGCTGGGGACTGGCGTAAGTTCCCTCAATACTCGCTGAGATGTTTTTGCTCTGAAGAGTCGCTAAGCGATGCGTCACATCGACTCGGTGCAACATTATCGAATCATGAAGCCGAGAGACTAACTGTCTCAGACTGGCTGCGTGTACATGCACATGGCCTGCACAGAGCATCGTCGCTGAACGATATCCTGTCTTGAAGTGACCTTTGGTGATTTTTACCTCTAGCCATTTGTACAAAGACCACATAGTTGAAGTTGAACGTCCGATGCCGATGCTAAACCTTCAGAAAATAATATGTATTCTAGCTGATCAATGACTTGCCAGTCTTACTATGCGTAACATGAATCATAGTGAGCTTCAATTGATGCGCACGATGATGATATCTTTCAAGTGTTAACCACACTGCAGCGTCGCTCTGTAGCACTTGACCGCGCAGACTGCCTGATCAGGCGCTATAGGGTCAGGTGGATGAGGCTGATGTTGACACTTAGAGTCTGAAACAATGAGATGTCGATAGTGGCGTTGAACCGGACGTTAAATATTCAGCACCAATACGTGAGAGTTTGTAAGCTCTGTCTACTAAAACGAACGCCGTGTGATCGACTTTAATCTTGCTTCAGCGTCAAGACAAAAGACGAAAAGCCGTTCATCGTAGAACGGCTTGGAGTATTCGTGCCATTCGAATTTAGTGACGTGCCATGGACGTACTAGATGTGAGCCCTTTAGTGGACCAAGTAGTGACACTTTGTCAAAATAGTGTCGCACAGACGCATTGCGTAAGTTCGTACATGTAATACGCCACCATTTCATAGACCAGTGCTCGACGGTGGGCTCTTCGGTCTTTGGTCGTTTCTCAGAGCCGTATACCGTAGATTCAGTTATTGAACGTGACATTTTCGATGCAAGTAGAGGTCGAATCAACCTTGACACTTGTAGTTGCAGTAGTCATTGCTACTGCCATCTTGCTTTCTGTCCCATTCGCACCTTCGACGCGGTCGATCTGTACCTGAAGCAACTACATCGAGCTGATGCTAATGTGCCTGCCGTCAACAACAAAATCAATCTCAACTGCAGGCCACAAGTCCAGACGCACGCGGTGTGGCACCACAATTGGCAGGGGTGGCAAAAAAGAAAGCGTAAAATAGGCGTAAAATAGGTTTTATATTCGCGATCTGGGTTAATTTAGGTTTGGTGGAGGTTTGGATGAAATTCAAATTGCTCACGTTGACTCAATATTTGGCTCTCTTCACAGTTAATGACAGGCAAGACCAAAGAATTGAGCACGATGGCTCTTCCATCTATCAAACAGCAATGACGAAAGACTGTTGACCTTATTACCTTATTATCGCTGACCTCGTTAGTGCATAGGAGGGTTTCTTTGCCCCAATTTAACTCTGTTGAAAAAGTTGACCCTGCGAAGATGTTTAAGATGTATGCAAGTGAGATTCTGTCGACTTCTTGTAAATCGAAACAGTTGTCTTACAGTGCTTGCAGGCAACATACTTCTGATTACAGGTTTCGACAACATCCGTAAAGACCGACCAGACATCACTCGAGGTATGACCTCTTCGATCTACTAGTGGTGCTGTTTCCTTCCAGAGTAGGAAGCTCCTCCTGGACGGTAAGAATTGAGTTGTTTTCTTCGTTATTGGTCATATCTGGTAGTCGTCTTTTAAATTTGGCGTTAGGTAGTACTGAGAATCTTGTGAGATTTTTTTGGTCAGATCCGATGTCACTTCATCAAAAACCTATTTTTGGTGTCGACTTCTTATATATGATGCGTAGATTCGACAGCGCATAAACGCGCCTACGAAGAGCAAGAGATCAACATCTCAATCATGCCACCATCTTCACTTCCATCTAGCTCAGGCATCTCAAAGACGGTGTCCTTTTATAGCAACCATGGCTAATTCTGCAGAAGCCGGGGTCGACGTGACTTCAGTTTTGCAGCGTCTTCTCAATCATGTGAAGCAAAATAAGCATTTGATCGCAAGTCATGACGGGCGACTTGAAAGCTAAAATTCGAAGTGAAAATGCGCTTGAATGCTGAACAAGATGCAGAAGATCATTAACAGTGCTACGAGGCTTTTGCAGGAAAGCACAAGAGACGAATGCGAATGTCACTCTGATCTTGGTATCGCGTGTGCAGTATATGCGGTAGTCATGAGCAAACTAATGCGAGTGGCGGACAAATCAATGATAGTTTTGCGAAGGCTCCATCCTCGTGACTTTCATTTGCCACGAGGTGCGCAAAGGTATTCTACTCTCTTTTGTGGCAACCCTCTGCCGATCTGTTCAAAACCTTTTCCTCTCGCTGCTGCGAAGCACCGCTGAGAGTGAAAAATACGATGATGTTGTCTGATGGGTAGTGCAGAGATGTCGAGGAAAAGCTATCAAGATCCGTAATTTAACGAAGTCCTAAAGCCGCTGAGCGTGAAGGTTGGTGCATCAGGGACGCACCTGAAAATCTACATATACTGCGTTTTAACGCAAAAGTGGACAATTGTCCCGGCACCAGAGAGAGCGCCTGAATAATGCGGACGGGTCTATTCCTGCGCACACAAACGATGGCTAATCGCGCTTGACACGAAGGAATATGGAGAAAGACTTGCAGCATCTCGAAGGTTTATTCTGGACATAGGCGTGGGAGGAGGAAGAAATTGTTGAGGTGTCAAGATACAGGTCCGTATTGAGTCTCATATTATCATAACAAGACAAAGATAAGAGTGCAACAGCTCCGCAATAAGTCAAGCTAAACGGTCTATATATTGCCGCAGTCGGACTATCAGTAAGAACCTCAGATACTCCTCAGTCCTGTTGACGTTAAAATGCTTGTCCCGAACGTTCAATAAACACGACGGAATGATTTGGAAACACTCGTTCAGTCTTGTTTATTGGACGTATTGAAACATCCACGTAACAAATGACGTGACCGACCTAACAATTGCATCGTATCATCCGGCCGCGGATCCACAAGCGAGTAATCGAAAAACACGTACGGGCAGAGGTTTACTAGTTTTACGTGCAAATCGCAGATTTCCCGTAACGGCAAGAAAGGTTCCAGATGATTCGAGAGCAGCAGATTAGCCCCCAATGCTCTTTGGGCACATTGCTCACACGAGCTGCACAAAGACGGCTGATCGAAGACCATCTGGGTGCTCGTCAAGATAGTCGCGATCACACTTGACGATATATATGGTTACGTGCCAGCGAAACCAGTTTTTACTGCTGAGTGGCCTTGGCCAAGATCTACAGCGCCCACGCCCGCATCGCTATGGACCAAGAGAAAAGCAAGCTGTTGAGCTGGTCTGCAGCCGCCAGTGGCGCGGTTTGGTCGAACGCAGAGCCAAGTTTACGCAGCATCTGTTAGTTCTCAAGCAGCAGGCTGGCTGGCACCAAGAACATGATTTCTAGGAGCCACATGGCAAAGTGATAGCAAAAAAGTGCATTCGCAGGTGTAGTTGACCCAAAGACTCTTTGTATCGCGAAGGAGCGGCTTTATTTTGGTAAATTTTGATTCGTGCAAGTTATCAAAGCAAGATGCTACGCTTGTGCAATGTGCCTGTTTCGTATGGCAAGCATGTGCCTTCAGCAGTATTGAGACTGGAACGATGCTTTATTTGCGCTCTCTTGCTCTATTCGCGCTATTCGTCGAAACGTTGTCGCGCGAAAAGTAAGTAGCGATGTATCGATGAAAACTGCGGGTATCACATCGAGCCGAGTGGCGGCAACGCCAAGATTTGTACAAGTGGCCGCTTCATGTCAAAGGCCGCGAATCTTTCCAACGAGAAGTGTCATGGAAAATGGTTTCGCTAGCACGAAACCATATCCATCGTCAAGTGTGATCGTGACTATCTTGAAGAGCCCAGATGGTTAGCTTTCCGCTGTGTGATTAGCTATATGTATTGCTGCGTCGCGTAGTATACACCGAGATCAATTCTTCGGGAGAGCTTTACCACCACCATGAAACGGATTGACAGATATATATTGCAAAAGACCATGATCACATCCAAGCTCGACTATCAGTCGAAATGCATGTGTCGTTATTGTTAGGTTCTTACAAGTGTAGCATGGTTTTATAAGAGCAGCCGAAGTTATCTTAAAGATAATTTGTGGTGGGGTAATGTTGCGTGTGACCACAGCCGGCGGCAACGTAACATGACTTTGTGGATTGAAGGGATCCACTGAGAAGCAGATGGGGCATTAGCAGATGGATGTTCGTTGGAAACGATACAAGTTGGAATCACCACGTGTGAAGAGAATACCATGCATCATTTCGTAAAGGATCGACGAGATGTTTGTTAATGGATGTACGCCTGCTGGATCGGCACGAGCAGGTAGGGACTCTACGCAAGGGGCCTGTTTGACTACAATTGGGTTTATGTGCATGTATAGTAAGTATTACACGCTACCGCACGGAGCCCGTATCATCATCAGTTATAGCTCACTTCAACTAGCAAGTGAGTTAGTACATCATATAGAGAGATCTTCACCGAGATGGACCTGACCGAGGCTTGCCCTATTGAGTACGCAAGGATGTTAGCAACCATGTATAAATAGCCGAGACAGTGGTGCGAAAGTCAAACGTCATACACAGCCAACAGATGGGGCTCTATGCTCTTTTGTTATTTATATCCGTTGGGCATTTGGTTGTGCAGCAGTCCTCTTGAAGAATTGAGGACGAGAGCCGATAATAGTTTGAATCTACTGGAAACCTTTTCCAAATGGCAGCAATGACAGTTGGAATTTCTCAAAAAGGTTTTGGAATACCGTTTTTTTGTCGACACGTACATTACCAGCAGGGGCTGCGGTCTCGTCCTATCTTTGGCCTTTTATACATTGCTTAGCGACTGTAGACAGCAAGACGGATGGTGCCCCTACTTTTATCGAAAGGTGGGGGGGGGTATGTCCCGGTCTCTACAATCAACAGGTGGTTTACCCTCGCTGCAATTGCGCGTGGCAATCATACAACCTTCTGCACGTCAGTTTGCCATTTTTCCCGCCACCATCTGCGAGCGAGCGAAGCGCCAACAGCAGCACTCACCCATCACAGCTCACATGCCTACACCGAGTGTTGTTGTGCCTTCACCTCGTGCCTATCAATCCAAGCTCAGTTCCATTTTCTCTCCCTTCGACTCACTTCTAACTGATGACATCGAGCAACAACACTTCCACAACTTCGGCTCCGTACAGCCTTCATCCTCGCAGCATGAGCAGTTTGAAGCGTGATGCGGAGCACGTGATCGTGAACAACGCATCCCCTGCTAAGAGCAAGAATTATGGCAAGTGCCAATACAAGACCGGCAAGTGTTTCAACGAACGCACTGTGAAGCGCAATGGCGACGCGCACTCTCTGTGCGAGGAGCACCGCGTCAAGCAAAATTTGATTCAACGTCGCAGTGATCGCAAGTATCAGACGGTGCACGCCATTCGACGTCGTGAACGCTCGCAGCGTCGCGCTGTATTGAAAAAGCAAGTTTCAATGGCAGTAGCGCAACAGCTTTTCTACGAGCACCAGCAACAGAAAACGCTTGGTATTCCGCTACCGCAACACCATCCTCTGCACGTGCTGACAACGAATGCCGCCACCCCGACCCCGGGTGCATCGTCTAGGATGGTGAGCCTCGCGCCTCCTATTCGGGTCCCACAACCGTCGTCGGCTTTTATGTTGAACGATCAGAGCGACTCGAGTTCACCTTTGATTTTGTCATTTCAGCCACAAAATAATTGCATGGCAGCTACCAATGCGACTACAAAAAAAGTAGTAGCAACACCAGCATCTACGAAAGCCAAGGACGAGTCGACCCCGACTGGTATCGACAACTTCACATCCGGTTCTTTTATGAATATCTCCAAGCCGTCGGGCATGCCGGGGCTGCATGATTCGGAGATTAACGAAAGCAGCATGATAGACAGTTTTGGCTACACGCCAATCGTCTCGTGCTCGGGTGACAAGGAAACGTGGAGCGACGACGACATTGAATTCCTGCAGACCATTTTATTGGCCTAAAGGGGGTCTACTCGTTAGACTATTGAGTTGTTCGACCGTTGCTACACATTATATAAGAGCGCCGACGGAAGTGTCTTTACCTGTTTTTAAACAAATTAAAAATTCATTCAATTTCGATAACGCAGTCTTTTTTGTTCTCGTCTCTCATAAAAATGCAAGAAAAGGTATAATTAGAAATGAAACGAGCCAAATACATTCGCGACAATCCATTGCGGCAGGATACCCGCTATTAATAATATGGCTCATCTAGGCAAATAATATATACTAGACGTAAAGAATGAATCAATATAATGCTACTACCTTAGCTGAAAGAATCTTGACACACCAAGTCAACAAAGCACGATAGAAATTGAAAAAACGCAATATGCCTCTGCGCACTCTACAGACATTACCGTTAGCAAAAGCTAAACTGACTGCTATCATAGTATTTCTGTGTAAGTCTCCTCCAGTATTCTCATGTTTTTTATGACTTTCTAGACCGATTGAGACAAAAGATGATCAAGAAGATTGTACCAAGTCCCGACCTGAATAATAATCGTCTGTTTGGGTGACGTAGATACCACATAGATTGAGTACACATGCAAGGCTGATTTTGCTTACATATCTGTAAAGTGAATATATTCAGCCGTCGAGAGCATTATCTTATACGATTCCCTTTCACGCTCGATAATCAAATGTAGGCTCTAAATCAATGAACAATGAAACGGATTGACTACTTCTAGCAAATTAAAGGATGACTTGTCATAACGACAAGAACGAAAGCCTGGTAGAGATAGAAAAAGTCGGCTCGCGCGTCTCAAATATGAAAGGAATTGCGTTTCAGAAATAAAAAAAGATGAGCAAAAGAGTGGTAGTGGTCCGTTGTCGCATTCCTCTTTCTCTGTTGTTGCGTGTAAAAGTATTTGCGTTTGTTTGCTTGATGGCACATCTTCATTATCAATCAACGGCTATCTACAAGAAGAAAAACCTTGGTTTAGCCGCTAACTTATCTTGACCTGATTCATTGTTGAAGCTCTTCAACCGCTCATGAAGTGCCAACAGACTCAGCTATTGTCACCGTCTCCATATAGCCACCCTTGTTAAGCGCCAGTACACCATGCTGTCATAGTGCCACGACTACGTACGGGTCGTCATTAAAGAGTAGTACCTTAGCGTCACGACGATGTGATCCAGTACAGACGAGCCACATCTACTATTTAATCGTTCGTTCCGGACTATCCATGACCTTACGTGTGCATTATCCGAGTTCATGAAAATCAACATGAGTACTTTAACGAAGACAAAACGCAAAATATGGGGCCTTGTTCTCCTTCACGTGGCCAACTTCATGTACGTAGCAACCCAATGAAGCATCACTTTATTGGACCACGCACGATGCCTGGCAGGCACGATGCCATCTCTATCATTGAAATGTTTAAGTTAACGGCAACCCGACGTTTTTTCATGCAAAAATATCTGAAGCGGTACTATGACTATCGCTCCTACAAGAAACCACACGAGATGTAGAACGCACCTAAATGCAAGACCGGATAGCGTCAACCCTTTGGCAAAGCATGTCGGTCACAGATAGACCGGAACGTTTGCTCTTCAAAAGCTTGGAGACCAAACTAAGGCTGGCCTCATGGTGAGCGTGGTAGAGTGCCTATGTTTCATGCGTGCTCTGACACTTACCTAAGTGGCAGTCGACAAGCCCGTTTGCTACTGAAAACGCACGAAGGCGTTCCAGATCGGGCTGGACCTTAGACCTGGTCGTCACAGATTGAGACTTACCCTGCTGAGCGCAGGGTAAGCCACACCCTGAATAGAGTCTACCTCTATCCTAGCGTCCTTGCGAAGCTTGGTGAACCTCATTATTGACATTTGGTGCAGTACTAACGGCACGCAATGACCCCAATATAAATGGTTCAATATCACACTCGCAGGCACCCTCGAATCGCACTTGAGACACGCAGCGAAACCTGCACTTCTCCGAGACCAATGGAGAATCCGAGCAGATATTGGCGTTTGGATTCTCACGTTAATGATCAGCCATGCCGATCGGAAACATATCAGGGACAACACCACATCATGTCCTAGCGTTTATTCCAGCTTCAACGTCAGACCTTCGCTGCACGAGATTTCGTGGTAGCAACCACAAATAGTTGGCTAGGCCAAACAGTGGCGGCTCGTAGATAATCAAGCCGATTGGTGCATCAACAACACGCGGTGCAAGTGGCTGATTCATTACTGCATTACTGGTGCTATGTTCATTTGATCTCTCCTCGTGCCTATGATTACCGTGTGCTGTTCAGGAATTACTTGGTGGTTGTGTTCTAGGATACATCTGTGTTTGTGAAACATCTCTGTTGTAAAAGCGCATTATCGAATGTGTTGGCACTCAGAAGTTGGTTTACCGTAGCCGAAGCGTTATAAAACAAGTAACAATGGATCGTGCACCACAGGCGTCAGCATCTTTGTCACAGCTTACACAACGGTAGGGTCCGTTTGCTGCAGAAGTTAATCTACGCCAGCACCAAGCTGGTCAAACATATGTTACTCCGGAGACGTGCGTAGCTTCACCAGCTTTACAATCTCCTCTTCTTGCAACAAGCTGTTTGCTGTACAACTTCCACATGATGTTGCTGCATTTTGAGCTTTGCTACCCTGAACCAAGTATTTGGTGCACAAAATTCGCAGGCCTGCACAACTACACTCCGTATCAATTCTGGTCCACCGGCAAGCCGCCAGGATCTGATCAGCGGCCACGAGAAATAGTGCAATGCAAAACGGGTTAACGGAACCCCATTTATCATTCCGAAACGAGTGTCGTATACGAATCTTCTTGCTCTCTGATGTCACCGACAGATTTCTCGATTGCTCCGGTCGCCGCGTGACAGTGCCATACAGCACTTCATTCAGGTCTAATCTGCTGCCGGTTGGTGCTGATCTAAGTTCTGAGCTGGTCCACTAGTGTTGGAGAGGTTGCTGTGTTGCTGTGTTGCTACGGAGCGACCATCTCGTCGACGCCAAGACGGACGAGTCTCCACGAAGTTGATGCCGACGCTGACACGGTCCAACGTCAGTGTGTCCATGAAGTAGCGGTCGATAACACCACTTTGCGACCAGCAGGTTTTGTTGCAACTTTTTCGGGTCAGCAAATTTAGCGCGATGAGATGCCATGGAGCATCAAAAATGACTCACCGATGATCACGCCAGAAATAAATCCACGATCTCGAAGGACAATTGCTGATGCGAGTTCGCAATACAAAAGCCTCTCGACATACTTTCGACTCTGAAAATAATGAGTAAGGCTAGCTGAATAATACAACAAGATAATCCGCCGTTGTCTACGGTGCTATAGGATAGCTGCCTGTCGCGGTTTCATGCGCTTCTTAAGCTTCGCCAACTCGGATGTCATCAGCTCCTGTGACCATACGCGTAAAGAATCAATCATTTTCTTTTTGAGACACTCTTCAGCAATCGATCCACCATCTTCACCATGGATGTTGTCGTCCATATCCGTACACGGTGCACCATCCAACACAGCGGCAGCATCTGTTGCACTGCCACTGCTATTGTTGTTACATGTGGTATTGCCGCTTAGATCTCCAAAGGTGCCCATGCCAGCACCATCCTTCTCCAAGTACGTTGAGAGGTCTTTAAAGAAACCAGCCATATCCTTGACACCATTAGGGAATATGTTCCGCATCCGCTCAATGGCTTCATTGTCCTTTTTGTTCTGTTCTGCTTCCTGTTCTTCAATTGACACACTACTGCGTGTAGTGTGCTCCTTGCGATTCCGCAAACTACGGACCCATCCATTTGATCCACGAAAGTCTTCAATCCCTAGCTCATCTGCATATTTTTTTCCAACGTCACGGATTAAAGTATCTGTAATTGTCCCGTTCTTTTCTCGATGAATATCAAACCAGTTCTCAACCAGTCGATTGAGTTTATCAAACTTGGACTTTTTGTTAATATGCTTGGAACAGCCCGAGACATTGTCCTTATAATAAGCTTTTTTAAACTCCTCCTTGCGTTTCAAAATTCGACTTACAGTGCTCTTGTTCAGTCCAAATTGCGCTGCTAATCGAATCCCATTGACAATTTCCTTGCCATGTAATCCTGTCATTGCTCCACCTTCTTGTTTGCTACGATTTGAGCTTTTTGGATCGTATTGATATTGCTCAGCCACTTCAATAATACGGATCTTGGTCTGTAAATCGATACTCACATTGGTACCTTGTTTTCTTTTTTTACCTTTGTGTGCGGTAACTAGTCGACCGGGAACTATACCGGTATCGTTCGGTATGTTCAAATTAATTGCATCGGTTAAGCGTCGATATTCCTCGTTCGACTTCTGCATCTCGGCGTCAAAATCCCCAGTAGTACTATGATAATACTGCTCATTGACTGCTACACCTTGTCGTTCGAGCGCTATAAAACGCAATATTGCTGCACGATTTTCAATTGTCGCAGTAGTGGGCAATGAGGCCAGAGGCAGGAGAGCAGGTGATGCAGGCAGTGTCAATGGCATCGAAAGAGCTTCATTCTGTTCTACATTCACGTGAGTGAAGGTCTCTAATGTTGTGGACGTCTCTGTGGTGCATTGTTTGGGCTGCAAACGACGATCTGATTCCTCGACGTCTTCCAGTGTTAGTGTAAGCATCTCGTCATCGTGGGAGGTAGTGTCCATTCTGATTCGATCAATGGCTGGCAAACTTGTAAAATAAGTTTTTAGCGGTATGGTCATCGGTATTTGATGTAACTTCCATAACTTCAACTTTATTCCAAGAGTGTTTGTCAACTGATTCCTGACATGTCGTCAGATTTAATTTTGCTGGAAAACAATCGAGAGGTAGATATTTCGAGTTGTTTGCCACTCGGGTCATATACTGTATGATCCTTTATCTTTGTTTTCGAGTGGTGAACGCCGACTTTCAATGGTCAAGTATGCCGTGTTCAAGACCACCGAGCATCTATGACCATCTTTCAACGCGAAATGTGTGGCCATGAAGGAAATAAAGAGAGCTCGGGCGTCCTTACTAGTGGCTCATTTGCGTAATAGTTGCTCAGTCATACTCAAACAGCAACTGGTCAGCATCAGAGGTTCATGTTATGAAATGGGCTGCAGATGTCGAACAGTCTAGAGAACTATTTAGGTTTATCCCATCTCGCACCTCGTCACTATAATGTAAGACAGCAACCTTGCTATCTATCCGTACACAAAAAAATGCATGGTCGGAGTCGGAATGGAGAAGAAAGTGACGGTCGGCGTTGAAAGCTCGCATGATTCCAATGCGGCGCAATGCGGCTTATCTTTCAAAGGTAGAGCCACATGTTTCATCTTAGCGGACGATACGACGATTGTTGGGAACTTTTTTGCTTGAATACTAGGATCCTCACGTTGATCTTAGCTTCACTACTGGAAGCATCGTCGTTAGTGAACTTTCAGCTACTTTTACCTGGCCGCGCGTTTTGCCAGGAATACCAAGCCACTATCACACCTTTTGTAATTGCCAGACTTGACGCGATGCTGGGTGCCCTGGATACACAACTACAATGACAAGAAATGTGTGTTCGATGAAATACTAAATGTGGCACCATCAAGTCTTCTCATGCTGTGGCTGTTTGAATTGACTGCGATTTATCTACGGATCCTAACTGAACCAGATGGCGCGGATGGCAACAAGCACCACAAGCGTAAAGATGAAAACGAATACGTCATCTAACGCCTTACGACCTACCACCAGGCACTCTGTCAACATAAACCACGATTAGCTTATCTCCTCAACTACCGCAGCGAAACCCAACCAATAAAGCGCACCTTTCAGCACCGGGCGACTAGACAGTGCCAGATTGACCAAGAAGCCCAGATCTCCCTCCTGAGAATTCTTCACGTCTGGCAAATCCAGCGCCTTTTGGACAAACTTTGCCCCGGCGGACACCAATAGTCTCACCAGAAACACACAGAACACAATAGGCGGATGTGACACCAGCGACGAGAAGTAAAATCCTACATCCACAATATCAGGCAGCCATCCACCTCCACTCGTCGTTGCTGACGTGCCTACTGTCTCCATCTTCGATTGCTGCATCAGTAAAAGCTCCAGCTTCTCTCTAATCTCAGGCAGCACCTGTTCCCGTTCAAGTTGTTGCCAAATGGAGTCCATAGGGACCCCCTTAGCAACAAGATTCTGATACTCCACGAATAAATAGTCGTCAGCAACTAAAGTTGCTGTGATAGAGCTCAAGTCCATGGACACAGCAGCATAAACAGCCGCCGCTACAATGAGCAGCAGCACGAGCTTCTCCTCAAGTGAGCAAAGCTTTAACGCTGTCAAACGACGACTAAACGTCGGTTCTGCAACAGCTGCTGGTAATGCCTCCTTTGAATGCAATGCTACAGTATCCTGTGAAGTCTGGAGAGCGGCGACCTCTTCCGTCTTGTGGCCAAGGATCTCCTGCACTATCTTCTCCTTTCTACGACGTCTGACAGCAGCATCTCGACGTCTCTGTGCTGGATCAACACGCTTTGGGATCTCAAGCTCCGTCTTCTTCTCTGTGATTGGCTGAGAAGTCTTTACGTCCAAGTTATGCGCTAGGAGCTCCTCGACGCCTTCGTCCAGCTGCGTCTCTAGAGATGTCACGCTCGACTCGTCGCTTGGCGTCTTGAGCGTTGCAATATGACCTTCCAAAAGCTTCAGACGACTTTTACTTCCTTGTAATATGCGGGCGCGACGCATTTCTCGCTTCTCTGCAGTCGACAATACTCGACGCGCAGGCTCTTCTTCGCCCATATCTTGGTTGTTTGATGCAAAAATGTGGATAATTGGCGTATGTTGTTTAATCAATGGTTTAATAAAAGCCTGCACTGGTATAAACAAAAACCAGTTAAAATCGTATCGTTTATTTGTTAAAACGGATACTATTTCTAAAGAGGATAGTATATAGAAATAAGCTGAATAAATAAACACTATGAATTGGTAATTGACTGCAGGGCTTCTAGGTGATTGTTAAACATAAGCTACAGTAGCAGCATCTTGACTACAAACAAATACATTTTGCCTCGAGCAAAACTGAAATACTAATGCTTGACGGGCATCAAAAATTATCCTCAGTATCATATATCAGAGAGGTTTGTGCTATGATAGTACCGTCGCATATGAGTTTTAGACACTTGCTGGAAGTAAAACATCAGTCTCTGTATACTCAAAAGACTCTATAGTAGCTTGCACTATTGTAGTAAGAATGGCTGGCAGGCCAAGGTCCGACGTAATGGGTGCAAGCGCGACACAATCGAGTGTTCAAGAGCGTTCGCAAGATCAGTGTCTCGCCTCCAATCAGGCAAGTGGCCGTATAGAAGCTCACTATAACTGATACCTTAACACTAATAAATTGACTTGACCAGTTTGTCAAGTACAAATCGTCATCTAGCCAGCAAGAACTACCAAGAACGTCAATGAAGTCGGCCGGTCGAGTTGCAGAGCCTTTTTTGGCGGCGCCAATTGATTCGATTGGTTCGTACGAATTGTAGTGGTTTTTATCCAATCTCCACATCATTCTCTTACGTATTTCTACCACTCACAGCCCAAACTGAAGGTATCATATGATCGGTACGATTGGATGCCGCCAAACGATCGGAAGAGCATCACTCTGATCCGTACTTATGGTTGGTTGATATTCAAAAACTCTTAGTAATTGAGTGTCACTTTCATATTTGCACCATCGAGTGAACAAACAAACGAACGTCCTTTAGTATCAGAAATGTTGCTCCAGCGTGTCTTGTCCGTCCGTCGTGTAGCTCTCGCACGTGCCATAACTGCACGTGGAATGGCCACATCGATCACTAGTTCCTCTTATGCTTCATCTGATGCATTTCTACACCGTCATTTGGGCGTCTCGTCCGAGAAAGACCGTCAAGCAATGCTGGCAACGGTGGGCTTTGATAGTATCGAAGCTCTTATTGCTGCTACTGTCCCTAAGGAGATCCGTTTGACCAAGCCATTAGATCTACCACCTCCTCTTAGTGAGAGCGAAGCGCTGGCCAAACTCAAGGCGGTGGCTGCTAAGAATCAGACGCTCAAGTCATTTATCGGTATGGGTTTCAATGACACCTTGACACCTGCCCCGATCATTCGTCATATCTTGGAAAACCCAGGATGGTACACTTCCTACACGCCGTACCAGGCTGAAGTGTCTCAAGGTCGTTTAAAAATGCTGCTCAACTTCCAGACGATGATCATGGATCTTACAGGTCTCGAGTATGCCAATGCTTCGCTACTAGACGAAGCTACAGCTGCTGCAGAGGCAATGGCTCTGGCTCATGGCAACTTTAATGGCAAACGTGCCAAGTTCTTTGTCGACCAAGATGCTCACCCACAGACTATTGGGATGATGCACACACGTGCGGAGAATGTGGGGATTGAGCTCGTGGTTGGTAACCCTAGGACCGACCTTGACCTCCAAGACCAGGGATACAGTGGAGTCTTGTTGCAATATCCGACAACTTTTGGTGCAGTCAATGACTACCGTGAGTTTGTGAAGGAAGCACACAAGTCCCAGTTTGTTGTGGCTGTTGCAACGGACCCTTTGAGTCTTACAAAGCTGACACCGCCTGGAGAATGGGGTGCAGACATTGCTCTAGGCTCTGCACAACGATTCGGTGTTCCCATGATGTTCGGTGGCCCACACGCTGCTTTCTTGGCTACGACCAAGAAATATCACCGCAAAATGCCTGGCCGTATCATTGGCGTGTCGGTCGACGCTCATGGCGAGCCTGCTGTTCGTATGGCCATGCAGACTCGTGAGCAACACATTCGTCGTGACAAGGCTACCAGCAACATTTGCACGGCGCAGGCTCTTCTTGCTAACATGGCAGCTGCTTACGCTGTCTACCACGGCCCTGAAGGTCTACATGCCATCGCGTCTCGTGCCAATCTGTACGCTGCGACACTAGCCGCTGGACTTGAGAGGTTTGCGTCGAAATGCAAGCTGGTGAATGAAGCGTTCTTCGACACTCTGGAAGTTGACGTGTCCCAGTCTGGCAAGTCGGCGGCGGAAGTGGCCGCTGATGCAACAAAGCGCGGTGTGAACGTGCGCGTGATAAACGACAAGCGTGTGGGTGTTTCCATGGGCGAAAGCGTCGACCTGACGGACCTGGAAAAGCTGCTCTTAGCGTTTGGTGCATCAAAGTGTGACGTGTCAACGGATCTGAGCGAGGCCCTTGGTGCCCGTGCGCAACAGATTCAGCAACGAAGTATCCCAGAGGGACTTCGCCGCACGACGCCATACCTGGAACACAGCGTCTTTCACAAGTACCGCTCGGAGACGGAGCTCACCCGCTACTTGAAGCAATTGGAGGATAAGGATTTAGCGCTCAACCGTTCCATGATCTCGCTAGGAAGCTGTACCATGAAGCTGAACGCTGTGTCTGAGCTGGCCCCCATTTCGTGGCCAGAGTTTACCAACGTGCACCCGTTCGTGCCTTCTGATCAGAGCGCTGGTTACCGTGAGCTTATCGAGTCGCTAAACCACTCGCTTGCCGTCATTACGGGTTTTAGCGCGATGTCGACGCAACCGCAGAGTGGCGCCCAGGGTGAGTACGCTGGTCTTTTGACAATTCGCAACTACCAGCGGTCGATTGGCCAGGGACACCGTGATGTATGCCTGATTCCGGTGTCGGCCCACGGCACAAACCCTGCCAGTGCTGTTATGGCTGGCATGAAGGTTGTGGTTGTGAAGTCGGATGAGAATGGCAATATTGATCGCGAAGACTTGGCTGCCAAGGCTGCAAAGCACTCGGACAACCTGAGCGCCTTCATGATTACGTACCCTTCGACCTTCGGTGTGTTTGAAGCGGGTATTAAGGATATGATGGACCTTATCCACTCGCACGGTGCTCAGGTTTACATGGACGGCGCTAACATGAATGCCCAAGTAGCCCTGTGCAACCCGGGTGACATTGGCGCCGACGTGTGCCACTTGAACCTGCACAAGACTTTTTGTATCCCTCATGGTGGCGGTGGCCCTGGCGTGGGCACCATTGGTGTGGCAGCCCATCTGGCGCCGTTTTTGCCGGGACACTCGGTGGTGCCTACTGGTGGCGAAGGCAAGCATACGGTGAAGAAAACAGATGCGGCTGTTAGCGGATCGCCTTTCGGTAGCGCTGGTATTCTGCCGATTCCTTGGATGTACATTAACATGCTGGGCGAGGATGGTCTAAAGCAGGCTACGTCTTTAGCCATTTTGAATGCCAATTACATGGCAAAAAAGCTGGAGAGCCACTACGAGGTAGTCTATCGCAGTGCCAATGGTACCTGTGCGCACGAGTTCATTATCGACATTCGCCCGTTCAAGGACTTTGGCATTGTGGAGGAGGATGTGGCCAAGCGTTTGCAAGACTTTGGCTTTCACAGCCCCACCATGTCGTGGCCAGTGTCCGGAACTCTTATGATTGAGCCTACGGAAAGTGAGAGTAAGGCTGAGATGGACCGCTTTTGCGAGGCCCTAGCGATCATCCGCAGCGAAATTGAGGACGTCGTGACAGGTGCCATAGCTGTGAAAGACTCTCCGCTCAAGCACGCACCGCACACGGTGGACCAGGTCTCTGCTGGTGTTTGGGACCGCAAGTACTCGCGGGAACAGGGGGCGTTCCCTGCCCCGTGGCATTTAGGAGGCAAGAACAAGACCTACTGGCCGTCTGTGGGCCGTGTCGACAATGTGCATGGTGACCGTAACCTCGTGTGCAGCTGCCCGCCGTTATCGGACTACGAGTAAGAAAACAAGATACTGTTGGGCGAGCTCCTTGGCGTCACCTGCAAGCTGACATCGAAAACTGTAGAGGCTTTAGGTTGCCTCTCCCCTCCTTCACGGCTTTTTCACTGGTCACTTTACCGGTGATTTGTCAACGACCGACTCTTAAAGCGTCGCTCGGACTCGATGATGTGTCGTCCTGTGGGAGGTGTCGGCTCTATAACTCGGGTGTTATAGTACGGAAACCCTCTGCGTTACGGATGCTTTGCAGGGGCGTGAGGGTGGTTTTGTTTTAGCGCTAACATAATGAAAAATATACTACTACTTTTTGTAATTAATACTACTTTGCTGAAATGTCCATCGTTTTTCTCGATAGCGTATGGTGAACAAGATAGATTCGTCCTTTGTTTTATATATTCTATGGGTAAAACCTTAATATTTATATAGCTTATGCATACTATTTGTAAAAGCTACAATCTCGGTATTACCGGTAATAAATAAAACCGATGAGACCGGTATCTAGAAGTACAGCTACTTCCAGTACTACTACTGTCACAGACCGATTTTTGTTTTTCCACTTAAACATCTTTAAAAATAATCATCCCATAATTTGCTTATATAAAGTATGATACCGAATCGTTCTTGACTAACACGGTTTCATTTACCAGAATTTGAGCAAAAAAACATTTGAATCGAGAACAACACGAAGTCAATCTCGAAGCACTTTCTGTATATTAGGATCCAGCGACTCGACACACCTCGATAATTCACAGAAAAGCAGCTACCTTTTCTCACAAACAACTGCAAGAGACGACTCCAACATGGTACAAAATGATTGATTCTGGGATTTTGTGCTCGCTAAAACGAAGCAAGATATCATTAAATGCCAAGGTCGATTATTTATTTTTCAATATACTGTTCTTAGCTATTGCAATGGTCTTGCGATCTAGACTTCTATCGTCGGAATTGTAGCTGCTATTATCTAGAAAATAAATTAAAGAAAAAAAGCTTTATTTGACATTCTCAAAAAATATATTACCTGAGTATTTAATATTATCTATGTACACTGCGTGGCAATGTGGCGTGTTTTAAGTAAAAAAAATTATACTCTTAAGTCATAGCTGACTAAGTAAACAAGATGGTCAGCCCAAAACCGCACCTAACCCAGTCAGTGAAGTACAATGCATACAAATATATTTACACATGTCAATTTAACAAAATATAGCACCGGCACGTTGAAGTGACATTCATTCTTGCTTCCGCTAACACAAAATGGAAATGACTAGCAGTGTAATGCGCTTCGCCTTGGCCACGTATTTCATGAAACGTGGCTATGGCTTCCATCATCCATCTCAATCTTCTGAGTTGTCATGGACTTCTCCAACTTTTGAACCCATTCGCATTGAATGCGACGACGTTGAGAACGGATTAAATCAAGAATTTTCCAATTTGGTATCTACCCACGTGTCAAATTTAAGGGAGTTACTGGTGGAACAACGACTTCATGATTGGTCGAGAGGGGTCGTTGAACTTCGAGAATATGTGATCAATAATAAACTAGTGACGTCATTGGTGACGTTATTAGTAAAGTTACTTAAGAGACACGAACCAAATGCGGTGTGCATTGTGCAAAGTAAAGAAACTATACAACTAGCATAAGTCAATTTGATAGAAAAATATCTAACCTTACTATTTGACCTTTTTTAGTTATTGAGCACATGTGTTTTGAGACAAAAGGAGAACCGTCCCAAGTGTTTGACCAGGTATGAGAGCTTGTTGTTATTAGCCAATCATATTCAACTAACATGCTAATGAGTACATACCGTAACGTGCTTTTTTAGTTTGTCGAGTTGCTACTTGAAAGCACTAAGTCAATGCTGTGAGAACAAGGACGCTCGTGTAGCAATCTGGATATTGCGAGCTATTCACGGCGTTTTACACGGACTCCGTCAGTATCACGAGCAACAATACGGAATCGCAAGACAAAACCAGCGCCATTGGCAAGACCAAAACATGATAACCGACATGATCTATGATTGCCTCGTCGAATCAAACCTTGCTACCAAGGATAAATGACAAGCATTGACAAGGCACGACCTACGACGCAGACACTTGTATTTTTTGCTTCCTTCTTCTTTGCTTTCAATCATCTACGGTGGTGGTCTAGCACTTGACACGCTTGAAAGCTCAAAACAAACAAGCCCGCGGCCTTCATTTTCTTTCCATTGTAGATACGACGTTGATCCCCACGCTCCGTCCTCGTTGAAGCGACACAGGGTGTACTATACAGGAATTGTCGCTTAGCTGTTCTTCATGGCATCCTCGACAAAGTTGAACGAATCATCCTTCTTCTTCATAAAGCCAAATCTCGAGTCGGACGCGAGACCATCAGTCGGTTCCTGGATTGTCTTGGCAATGTAGCCCGATGGGGTCATCGCTGCCCCAATCACTTGTGAGCCAGGGTTACCACCCATACCTTGCATTTGTTGCATCTGTTGCATGTACTGCATCTGTTGCATCTGCTGCATCTGTTGCATGTACTGCATTTGTTGCATCTGCTGCATCTGCGTCATTTGCTGCGGCATGTTGAAGTTCATCATGTTCATGTTCATGTTCATCGGGCCGCCGAAACCCGGATTCATCGCAGGCGCCGCAGGCATAGGCTCAAGGAGCGGGTCTAGCACCATATTTTGCTTTGCCGGCGGAGTAGGAGCGGGGACTGCAGGAACAGGGGCAGAGACCTGAGCAGAAGCAGTTGGTTGAGATGATTCCGGTGCAGATGTCGTACTTGAAGTACTACTCTGAAGCTGCAACCCGCCAAACATATCCGTTACATCATTCGCCGTTGCAACGGGCTGCGCCGACTCCTGCGCTGACTGCTGAGGAGGAGCGTTCGTTTGCAGTCCAGAAAAGAGCGATCCGTTGTCACTCGCAGTAGGAGCGTCATCGAAACCTCCTAACAGATCAGCCTCTGCAGCAGCTGGCTGCTTCCTGTGACTAGAAGATGGCTTGTTCTTTGGCTTGGATGAATCCTGGCTTGACGTCCCAGCCCCTGGTCCAGCAGAAAGACCAAGATTGTGCAGGACCTTGACTGCACGGTCTCGTATGGCAACCTTATCCGAATTCGCACAGGACTCGATCTCACTCGAGTTTTCGGCAAAGTATTCTTCAAACTCCTCGCAACCATCGGTCCTCAGCAAAGCGTCAATCGTTGTGAGCGCCTTCGACACAACCTGATTCCATAGAATATATATAAAGTGATGTCAGATACACAGTCGTCTCATGCATGCATCAACGAAAATAAGCGTACCGTCCATTGATCGTCTGACAAGCAGTCCTCCAAAATCGGGCCAAGAATTTCGGCGTCCAGTGTCATTGCGTTTTTTATAAACGCATCCATCTTGTCCTTAGGAGGAATAGCACGCATGCCTCCAGGGGCGCACAGCGCTGTGACCAGATTTCGCTCATAAGAGCCATCCGATTGCGCACCAGAAGTCTGGCCTGTGAGAACTGGAGCCTGCGGAAAAGGCCTTTGTCCCTGAGAAGGCTCGCGGCGTTTGTTGTCTTCATAATCGTAATCTGAGTTCCGTGCGTACGGGTTGGTACCGCGCGTGTTGCCGCCAAAGCTCTGCGTTCGACTGTCGTGGCCACTGTGTTGCGTCAGTCCAGTAGACCCGCTGGCAGAAGACGACGGGGCGTCAGCATCCGTCCATGCGCCTCCAACACGACCCTTTTTTCGGTCACCATCTGATGACAACACGTTTGGATAGAATGAATCAATCAGCTTTCAGTGATACCCATGCACGAATCTACAGCACCAAAACGTACCGTAAGATTTTTCACGAAGCTGCGAGCTAGCAGATTCGCGTGAATCGTTTTGATGCGAGCCAGGACGGTAACCTCCTCCAGCAAAGCCAGTGGGACGGTACGACTCCTCTGGGTTGTATGGTGCAAGCGCTCCACCGTAGTTCCCGCTAGTTGGTCCTCGATTCGTGGCAAAGCTCCAGCCATCAGGAGGATTTGTAGAGCCAGGTGGGCCTCCACCAAACGTCGGTTTGTCCGACTTGGAGTACTTTGATGCTACCTTCTCCTTCAACCCCTTGAAAAAACCCTTTTCATCAGCTAATAGATACAGACACAACCATGTAATCAATTCAGTCAGGCACATCAGCATAATCCACTCAGCTCTCCATGCATATTACGTATTTCACCTCGTGGATCCTGGTACATTGGATTACCAATACCGGAGAGCTTCTGGTCATGAAACGGTGGTGCAGCACCTCCATATGGGTTCAGTGGCGGTGCACCTCCAAAGGGCGGGTTGGCATGGCCTCCGTATGATCCTTGCTGTGAATAATCAGGCTGATACGGCTGCTGCTGCTGCTGCTGCTGGCCGTAGGGCTGTGGACCTCCATAGCTGCCCTGATTCGGGTCGGTCGGGTATCCGTACGGAGCTCCCGGTGGTGGTGCGGCTCCATTATATCCGCTTATGGGCGCTCCTGCCATTGGCGGAGGCGGTAACGAGCTGTCATTGGAGCTCTTGCCGCCCCAGATCTTGGAACTCCAGCCAGAGCCACTGCCGCTATTATCATTAGGATTAGCCCCCACTCCCTGGATACGAGCCGACATGCCCATACCACTGAGTCCAGGTGTATTATCCGTATCGTAAATAGCATCAAGACAATCCTTAGCTGATTCACGCACACGTCGATAATACTCGTCACCCTTCAATGGATCAGGTACACCACGGAATTCTACATAATTCATACATAATAATAGAAAATTAGAACACTTCTAAAAAAAGAAACAATCAGAACCTTTCTAATTTTCATAAAATACGTACGCAAACATTCCTTAATTGTAGGAATATGCTTTTGCATCTCGCGTTTAAAGTCAACGCGACCTTCACGACACACGTGTTTAATGACCTGCAATGCCTTGTATTTGACTGTATGGTGTTTGTTCTTTTTAACACGGGCAATCAAAAAATCTTGTACTTTCATGCATGTTTCGTAGCTATGCTGCGTCATACGGGCAATCTCCCCATACAAATAGCCAGGCGTTGGCGTATCATCTTTGCTTGTAGCACGGGTCAGTAACGCCTTGTCCATTGCTTGTAGTAGATTACTGCCTTTTTGTTAGAATATTCGGGCTGGGCGAGATCTACGCGGGAGTCGAGCGCGTTTAAAAATGGGAGCGAGGCTGGGAGGGATGACGTGCTTTTTACACGACTCACTCTCTGTCTTTTGACGGTAAAACCTGTTGTCGTAGTTGACGTGGCAGTCTGTACCGTCGATGGCTATTTTGGTAGTATTTGATAGTTAGGCTACCAATATGAACCGATATCTGATATTAAGTACCTGGTTTCTCAGAGCTACTAAACTTTTGACATTCACGCTAAGTATACAGTCACTGGCAGCATTTTAATTTTATATTCCTTACCGGTAAGTATTCGAATCTGACTTCCAGTTACTTTTGGAAGCTTCTCGATGGCTACATTTGCTGGTTTGGATCCTTCATTTACTAGAATTTTACTTAGCAATAGCGTTGAAAGTCTTAAAATTTGGCCAGGTCGAGTTTTAAAAGAATTTATTGTATTGAATATTTGTATATGATACTGGAATGTACGCTTTCAGCTTCTGCTAGTGCGTAGTCTTCCGTAGACATTTTGTCATCAAAAGGCATCGATCACTTTACAGCTTATGATTGAAAGAGATGTAGCTTGTTAATTATAATAGATATTATATTGTCATGATGTATTCGATATAACAGGTCAAATGATTTTTCTAATTTATAAGAAAAGTAAATATATAAATATAGTTAGTCTGTAGAATACCTATTTATAAATACCAATTGCGAAAGAATTTGCATCAATAGGTATTTGCAGTAATGTAAATTTTTATTTATGATAGAGTAAAATTGCCTTCGGCCCCTGTAGACATTTACGTAATTTTTACTTGAAACTAGGTTGGCGTCTGGACCTTGTTGCAGTTCCGTCTGCTCGAGAATATTTTTTGGCAAAGAGACTCAAAACTACTATTTCAAAACTAATACTGTACATATGTCATTAGAAAGAGGGCTAGCAATTTCGTCGCTCGACTAATGAACGCTTATAGATGTTCACATACTATAGTAAAGTAAATAAAAAATCTATAGAAAATAGTGTACGCTACTTATACGATATGTACTGGCTGATTTAATGTCATAGAGTTGGCAGAAGATTGTTGAGTCGTGGGCACAATAAACACGTCAGACGGACGTTTACGATGTCGTAAAGCCAATCCGCTAATCTCAAACTGATCAAGCAATTCGGAGCTATTCAAATACTTGTTGCCAACATTTAGCAAGTCACATTTGAGTAATTTGTGCGAAAATGCTTCATCATCGAGAAGGATTCGAGCCAAATGATGAGGTTTAAAGTGCCGTTCAACGTTAGCTTCACGACTCTTGCCTCCAAAATATACCAATCCTCCCATCAGACCCATCATTACACAGCCGATAAAAGTAAGTATGGCTGATAGATACGGTACCGATAACGTGACATCCACGTACTTGACATTTGTATCAAACGCTAGCATCGATGGACTCGTCTTTTGCTTCACGACACCGTATTGGAATAACCAAAATAATGCTGATTGATAAGCTGGTTGGAGAGACCGTTCCGAGTACAGATGCAAACTCTCCACACGATCCATAAAAACGCCACGTTCGCGTTCACATCGAGAACCATCGACTGGCGTCCAGTTGCTTCTATTAGCAAAATTTCTCGGAAAAACAAAATCGTTCTTGAGAATGTCACTCATATCCACCTCTTGGGCATTTGAAGTCACGAGGGGGGTCCATAACAACAGTGATGAAGTGTACATTGTCAAGTCGTTCACTCGGACATGGTCACTACCTACGATAACAATCTGAGCATCATCAGATAGCGGGAATGCAACGCCGTTGCAGTCGCTCGCCTCGCATGAAGCATCATATTTGGAAGCCAGGTCTGTAGTATCCCACGACAATCGACCCGCAGTGACCTGGTAGATTTTTCGAGCGTTCGTTAGCTTTACGACAAGGGCTTCTCCGGTTGAATCATTCACAAGCGACGAGCGAATGGCGTCACCAACGATTCGCTTGGCAAAACTAAATACTAGCATGGAACTCGTAGAACGACGCTCGCATTCAGTACCGTCGACATTCATGGTGGCCTCGTAGTCTTCATTGCCGTTTTCATCAAAGCAAATAGGCAACACTCGCACCTGACTTCCTTCATCAGCTGGAGCAGTAGTCAATGCAGCTCCTACGGGGCTCACTACACAACCATAACGACCACACTCCTCCTTCGCGTTAATCTCAAATAACCCGTTTGAAACCTTCGATCCATAAACCACAGACTTTGTCGTGTCGTTCATAAAGTTCACCTCGCGACGCAAGAATTGTTTTCCCATGGAAATTTCCAGCGTCACACCTTCAAACACCAAGTTACCACTGTCTGTTTTCCAAGGAAACTGCACAAATTCCATGCTGCTCTCAGCAATGCTGAAGTTTCTCAAATGTGTTCGTTTGTTGACTGCGAGATTCATTGCGGTGGTAGTGGCTTTAACAAGTTCTTGAGTCATCCTTACATCATCAGATGATGCTGAGTCGAAATTATCTGGTAAATCCGATAGAGCAAACAAACTGGCATTTGCTTGTACGCCTTGTTCCCGGAAATAGTCGTCGGTGGCACGCATTGCATAGTTCACGAGGCTACGTGCAGCAGTCAGCTTCATAGGCATTACCATCTTTTCTATCGAGTCAGCACCCTCGTCCAGCAACACAGATAACGTGTTCGTTTTCGTAGTCTCAGGCGCATACGGCAGTAACTCTTTCATCCATCCACGAGACTGGAATCCATAGTCCAATTGTGCTGGAAGTCGACGTGGTGAAGGCCGCTTGCATTGTCCAGCAGCAATTCCAGCTGCAACATCCGGCAGCTGCATAGCACTGCGAAGAATCGTGTCGCCGCTCGACGCACGACCCACAGCGGTGACCGAGACACTCTCGTTCCCAAACAGGTCGCTGTCTTTGATAACTACATCGACTCGTACTGTCTCCTCTCTTACGTAGAGAGCCATGAATCCATTGATCAACAACCAAAGCGTGATATTACCAAGTAACGCCAACGAATATCGTGTCCATCGTGAACTCTTCTCCTGCATAGTCAACCGCGTGAAAAAGCACAAGAGCACAGCTGGTACCACCGCACCCACCAGTCCTAACAGTGGTTTTACCACTACCGATGTGACTAAGCCAACGTAAAAGTTGTACGTGTCAATATCATCGGTAGTACTCGATACATTGCTCGAAACAGCATACGACTTTAGCACAATGCCTTGCTGTAGAAAGAACATTACTACCGCAATTATCGCGACACCGAGTACTGCGGTCCAAAGTATCCGATGTCGTTGCATCCTCACGAGTAGTGGTACAGCATTTGGTGCAAGTTGTCTCTGGTACAAAAAGTCTTTGCCCATAGATGTTGGGGATGGCGACTCTACGTCGAATACTTTGTTGTCATTGCTGCGACTGACTTGACTGTGACTTAAATACCCAAAGCTATCAGACTGTGAGAGTGAAATCTGAGAGACTGCCAAGGGAGAATGCATCAATCACAAAGTCTCAATGGAACGGAATGGAACTACCACAATAATCGATGTTGAGAAGGAAAAGACGCAGATCGACGCCAAGTTAATAGTGACGGACAACCAACTGGTAAGACCAAGACCTCTTTACCTCAACAAAAGAACTTACGACAGGCTGGCGTGTGCAATACGTTCTTACGACTATTTCTGTGGTAAACAAAATACAAGAGCTTTGACAGGGTTCATGTGAGACTTGTGACCAGATGTAGAGCACAAATGGAAAGTGCACTTTGGTGCTCTTTTGAGACTTCTTATTCGATGGAGAGCTCTATAAAAACGTTCTATTTTTTTCAATTAGAAGCGTTCGGATTGGTTGATGACGTCTTTTTAGAAGCTTTTAGCCAAGTAGAGACTGTAACGGGTTGACAGGTGAAATCGTCAGATCAATACGTCAAAAAATTCCCGGTGAGGAATTTCTGCCGTGCTCGTACAACTTTTTCTACCTGTTGGTATGTCTTGACTTTTAATTGCGCAAGGTGACGAAGACACACCACAATGGATAGCGATGGGTTTCTTCCACTGACTATTACTAGACTCAAGTCCAATTATTGTATTGTAGACTTGAGGTCAAGGCTACACTGGTTGCGATGAGAGCCTCAACTCAAGTTGTAGCTACTATGACTTTTGCCCGTCCATCTTCGCAGTAAATGCTTGTTTTATTCCTACCTTTGGTTTCAATAGCGGGATAACTACATGCAAATAGATTTGCATTGTTTGCATCGTATATGTTGTCATCGAGATGTAACGCAGCGATGGTCCATCGACAATGGGTACAAAGGCTTAGCCGAGCTGGTATCACGCATCAAGTCAGTCATGCATTAAAGTATAATCCGTCGTTTTACTTGCAAGCAGGTAGTCAGTATTAGTGCTTAATACTACTTGACCCAGCACTGACTAACGCCAAATCATACGAGACCACCTTCAGACTTGTGGTGACGGTGTTGTTGAGTATCATTTTCCATGCGCTTGTAAGGCGTGGCGTTATTTCCTTGAATAATCCTCTGTCAAACAATGCATATATGTGTGCACGTAAGTTTTCGGCTATCCAAATACTGTATTACAATCGGACAATGCGGCGTTGCAATACAACTGAAAAGGAAGACAAAATGCTCTATACCGGTGAGTAGGTTTCGTGGGACCGGAACTGCGATGAACATGACACACAACATCACAAAGATCAGTTCATGGCTATTCAATAATCATCACTATATGAAATTCGTACCTCGATCGGTGGAGGTGACACGAGCTGGTTCTCTGGAAACGGGTGGCTGGTCAGTCCTTGATAGTCCGGCTTCAAAGACTTACATTCAAGCATCACCGGCTGCACGTACATAGCCTCCAACACGCGCTCGAGATCCTCCTTTTGACGCAAACGACGCGAGTCGATCATCACGGCCTGATCTAGTGGAAGATTCCGAGCGATCTTCGGGTAGCGTGATGACACGAATAGGTGAAAAGCCAACGTAATGAACGGTAGAAAAATCGAGAGCGTCGCAGGAAGCGCCACCTGCTTGGTGGCCAGCACTGACGCCATGATGATCTGAGCAAACATGAGCGCACCAATAACGAATCGGTACAGCGACGGAAAGAACGTGCCCGACGTCTGCGTTGACGGGTCATGAACGCACAACGCTGCCCAACGGAATACGACGTCCGACAACAGCAAGTAAAGTATCGCAAAGTAGTTGAAAATGGGGGCAATGGCGCAGAACACCAGCACGAGCATCAACACCAAGAAGTAATCAGACACCAGATCGGACGCACCAAAATCTTCAGGGTAGTCCAGCGAATTGAGACCAAACCAATCAGACAAGCGCTCACGAGGCGTCAGCTTAGGGGCTAATGATTGATAGATGGCAGCCTTAGCGATCGGAACCACGCGCAGCAGCACTAACGTCAGGTTGAGCCCTGTCTTGACGAGCAGATACGTGATGAAAAAGGATGACTGCACTGCCACTGAATCGCTTATAACTCTGAGAGTGCTACTCACATTCGTCAGCTCTGAGCTACCCGATCCAATGACGGCATCAATGACGGTACCACCAATAATAGGTAGCAAAAACGTCACATAAATCTGGTAGGCGATCAACTTATTGAGCAGCGAGGCATTCACCTGGGATGCAAAAGCATGACCTTCACGCTCGGACAGAATGCCAAAAATGATTGGAGCTAGTGCCGTCATGATGGACAGCATCAGTGGAGAGATCTGTTCCAGAACAGACTGAACCCATGGATAATCGTCGATCAGATCAGCCAGCCATGGCCATTGGTTTTCAAGCGAATCCACCTTGGCAAAGGACACAACAATACCTGTCGGTAGCGTCCAGAGCAAAATGATAGCAGTACTGAGTGCCATCGAAATCATAAACCACGTGTCTTTGATGTTTTTGGATAAACCGATGTTCGGCCACACCACGTGGTCCGCGCGATCAGCAGGTTCCACTTGCAGCTGTGTAGGATCGGCACTTTGCAGGATCTGGGTGCAGGACTGAGCCACCTTAAGGCTTCGGAAGGTAACAAACCCTGCTGCGCGCATAATTCCAAGCGATTTCTTGTCCTGCCGCTTCAATCCACGAATGTATCTCGATTCCAGTGCATCACTGTCCAAGTCTTCATCCTTCGTAAAATTGATACTTCTCGCCGAGTCGAGATTCTGGTCAAAATGTCTCATTTCGTCATCGGTGCTAGCTTCCAAAAGCTTTCGAGCCACTGCCGCTTGATTGCGTGATATCGAGTCCATCTCTTTCTCCACTGCAGCATTCAGTTGCTTCAGTTGGTTTTCAAATAGTTCCACCGCGTCCGCTTTCTCTCCAATCGTATTATCTTTTGTCAGCACTCGTTCTCCTGTTTTGGCACATTGAGCAAGAACGTGCTCGAGTTTGTTCCGTACTTTGACACGTTCTGCCACAAGTTTTTCCAAATCACGACATTCCAATGCCACGTAAACATGAAGAACCGATTTCGGAAACAAAAGCTCCAGATAATTTCGAAGTGTTTGTTGCGTACAGAGGTTTGGTGGTAATCCATTTAGTACCACCGTATACTGTTGCGAATGTTTTCTCGACATAAACTCGTGACGACGACGAATATATTCTTCATACTCTTTCCAAAGTAAAAAACAGGTCGCCATTGATACCAAATACATGGTGATGACTGTAGAAAAGAACCTCCATGTCGTGTCCGTATCTAAATGGGACAACGTCATCATATACAGAGCATCCAAAGAGTCATTTTGGGCATAATAATAAATGGGAAAGTTAAAAATCGAGCACAATATCCCCACAGCTGCCACCTTTTGGCATAATCTCAAAAACCGTAAGAAAAAGAGTGTGTCCATTCCACAATGTTCCAAAATGTCGTCATCACTCGTAAGTAAAAGAAGTTTGACCCACCCAAACACTTTTGCATCACGACATCTACTCACTGTCTCATTTGTTGTCTCGACTTTATTTTCACGACAGTAATAGGCACTTTGTAATTTCACTCGTCCGACTTCAAACGCCATCCAACCAATTGCACCAATTACAAAGTATACACGCATTCCATTAAGAATGGTCGAAGATGGCGTCAGATCTTCGGTCGCTGGTTGTTCAGTCACACTTGCAGCAGCATCTGCCATACTCTAAAAACGCCTTTAAGGTCTTTTTTCAAACTGTTACGAAAATGACGATAAGGTTCTATGGTAGGGAATTGCAAAGTACTGGTTGAGAGAGAGAGTGAGAGAAAGAGGGACAACAATGAACGACAAGAGGTTAAAGTCGACAAGAAAGTCATGGCCGCTTTATTGGTATAGAAATGATAGAGAAAAACAGATGGGATGTGAAGAGACGTTATAATGTGGCAAAAAAGAGCCAGCTATGACGAGTAGTAGTAGTAGTAGTAGTAAACGAGCAAAAAAATGGAATGCGACGGTTTCAATACATTGTGCCTGACGCTCAAACTCATGTGGCGAAACAGTTGCAATAGAAGCTGCTTTTTAGCTTTATTTGGAAAATGAATGCCACCCATAAATGCAACATTAGTTACTGTATGCTTTGAAACCCCATACAGTGACGACCCTATTGGCACCGCGAGTAATATGACTGCTTAGGGAGAAACAGATAGTGAGAATATGGCAAAAAAAAGCCAGCTACGCGTATTAAGTATGATGTACGTAGGACTCTAGTAGTAGTAATCAAGAAATAAATACAGTACTACTTTGTGTAGTAGTTACATGTAATGTAGCTATCTTGATAGGATGTAGCCATCTCAACTATACACTGGGTTTTTTACCTCGTGTATACTTAATCCAAACATCTCTTGTATCTTTTAAGATGGATCATCTCAAGGTGACTTTATTGTCTTCTCCTGCATCTGATGGATCCTCTCTTCCCTCCTCTTCATCTCCTATTACTCTACATAATCGTCCGTCTTTTCCTACTTGGCTTTATCCTCCCAAAGGTGAAACTCGTCGTCTTCAAGTACCTCTTTACGCTCTGGAAGCCTCTCGAAACGTTCTAAATGGTCACAAACATCTTTTAAGCCAATGGCCATCCACTGCCATCTGTGGTAACGATATTTTAGCCAGTGTGTTGTATTCCTCTGGTATCGTGGCTGCAAAAGCTGGTAAATTGACGCCATTGGCTCAAATTCTCGTGGCATTTGTCCTTTTTCTCTTTCGGTCCATATATGAAGAAGCAGTCACTGCTATTCCCTTAAATGGAGGTTCCTATAATGTGCTTCTCAATACAACGTCCAAGAAAACAGCTGCTATTGCCGCATCGCTTGGCATTATTTCGTACTTAGCAACGGGTGTTGTTTCGGGTACTAGTGCTTTGAGATATCTCAATACCCAATTGGATGTGGACATAGTGTCCGGGACAATTCTATTGCTCTTTGGATTTGCTATATTGTCCATTATTGGCATGGCAGAGAGTGCAAATGTTGCATTAATCATTTTCATTGCTCATGTGACGACATTGACGCTCCTAAGTGGGTTTTCACTTTGCTATGCAGTGCAACATCCAGATACTTTCTGGAACAATATGCACACGGATTTTCCAGATGTCAATGTGGCTGGAAATGTGGTGACGGGCAATTTACTTACAGCAACTTTTTACGGCTATTCATCAGCCATGTTGGGGATCACGGGTTTCGAAACATCGGCACAATTTGTCGAAGAACAAGCACCCGGAGTTTTCCGGAAAACTTTGAGAAATATGTGGGTTTTTGCCACTTCTTATAATTTGTTGCTGTCATTCTTATCATTGGCAGTGCTGCCATTGGAAGGACGTGGAGGAATTTATGACGACAAGGATGTCGTGCTGGCGTCTATGGGTAGAGTCGTGGCTGGTAAATGGCTTGAAAGTTGGGTGTCCATTGACGCCTTTGTCGTTCTCGCAGGAGGTGTATTGACGTCCTACGTGGGAATTACAGGTCTTGTACGACGTCTGGCGTTTGATCGTGTACTCCCGGCGTTTCTCACTTACACTAACAAGTGGCGTGGTACGAACCATTACATCATTTTGTTGTTCTTCGTGCTGCAGGCTAGCCTTGTAATTGTGCTGCATGCGGACGCAACAGTTCTTGCTGGAGTTTTCACGTTTGCATTTTTGGGCGTTATGGCTCTTTTCGCCTTTGGTTGCATACTACTCAAGCTAAAACGTGAAGACATTCCACGCGACGTGCATGCTCCGTGGTGGAGTTGTATTTTCGGATTGGTGATGGTACTGCTTGGATTGCTGGGCAATCTGCTGGGAGACCCGACCATCTTTACCTATTTTGCTCTGTACTTCGTAGTCTTTACTTCAACGATGTTTATTATGCTAGAGCGCGTCTTCATCCTGCGCATTGTTCTTTATATTCTGCAACAAATTTTTCCATCTCGTGACGCTGAAGATGGTATTGCCAAAGATAATAAAGCTGCCAAGTCTCAAGGAAAAGTGAAAGAGGGATGTCGAACTGGAGCCAGGGGTGGCCGCACTATTACAGCGGTGCTTGAAGAAATTCACCTTCCGCCGATTGTATTCTTTTTCAAGACGCCCACTCTATACGTGCTCAATAAAGCAATTCTCTACGTACGCAAGAACGAACATACACACAATTTGCTCGTGGTACACGTTAGCGAAGATGCAAACTTAGCTGAAGATAAAAGTGCAGAAGTAACGGAAGCCGATACTCAGCGTGTGCAGTATGAGCGAGAAAAAATAGAGGACATGCGTAAGATGGCTCGTATGTTTGACCAGACGTACCCGAAACTCAAGATCGACTTCGTGCATGTTTGTGGCTCGAGCTTTGACATTGCTCTCGTCCATTGGTTATCCGAAGAGTTGGGTGTGCCGCCTAACATGATGTTCATCCGGCAGCCTAGTACCCAGCACATTCACCAAGTAGCAACGCTGGGTGTACGGGTCATCACTGGCTAAAGTTAATGACTTTTATTTTCGAGGACTCGGCATCCCCAGAGTACTGCACCAAGAAAATATGTATCTCTCGGTAATTCTTACACGACAACATTGTCCACAGGTACGTGACGAGTATGGAGCAGCATTTGTAAGTACGGTCCTTTTCTCGACCAGATCTGATGAAGTTGTGTTTTCTATAATGGGATATCTGCTGCTGGACCCCGCAGTTATCTAAACTTGTACACTCAATCGTCGGAAGTACTCTTCGTATTAGGGGTGCAACACAGGAGGTCACCCTATATAACATGCATATGTTATCTACAAAGGTTACTTTGCTTCCGTGAGGGTTACTTGCTTTCTCAAGTTGACTGGATGCATATTCGTACTCTAAGTCGAGGTGCGCCTGATAGGTAGATGTAGAACTAGGGTACCCGGCAAAGCCTTGAGCTTGGCTATTGCTGGCTTTAGCCTTTGGGGGTAGGCAATGGCAGGCTAGCATAGCCCCTGGGCTACAGCCTAGGGGCTTTACCGGGTACCCCCGTGGAGAACTGAGAAGTATATTAAATGCCTATATCCTGTCGCACTCGTATTTGTTCAAAACCTATGACTCTCTAGTGAACTCAGCGTGTAGACGGGCACTTCTACGAGGTTGCCTCGTACTACTAGCACACACCTTATAAACAAGCGAGGAAGCGGTTAGACCGTCTTACCTTCGCGTGCGAGGGTGGTTAGGAGGTTGGTCGACTGCTTAAGCAGTCGTACCACCAGTTGCCTCTCGCTTAAGCGAGAGTGCAACGAACTTCTTAACACTAAAGCACGGACGTCACGCAGAAGCTTTGCAACTTCTCGTGCGTGATGCTTTTGATTTAGCAAATTCAAGACTGAGCTATATTTAATTAATTATAACTAAATATATGCTTAACTACTGATTGGCTATATATATATATATATAGATCGGATACGCGACTCTTTAGAAGCGTATCCTGTCGCATGATCTTAAATCTAGATTTGAGATTGCAACTGACGTCCTTCTGAGACGTCGCGATGCCTAGCTTCAACTAGCGTCATCCCTTCTCATGTGAATCCATCAATGGATATCACATTCACGAGGGTGGATCACATTTGTGTATCGCACCCAAGTGACAGGTCAAAAGTAATCATGGATACTTTTAGACCAAACATTAAGTATATTACTTAATGTTTACGTGTAACTAGATACCCTGTTACACCATCCCCCGTTTTAGAATGATGTTTACATTTTGTTAAACATCGCCTAAGAGACAGAGAGACTGGCGAGCCGTTATAAACGCGCCGCTTTAGTCTGCTCGATTCTCATGCCACAAAAACGTGGTAAGGCTGATGGGTCGCCTGCAAAGGCACCCATGCAGTCCAGCACTAAGCGCACGCGCCGCGATTTATCGTAGCCGTCGCAAAGTGCTTCAGGCACTGAGGTGAATCTTCCATCTAACGTCACTCGTCGACCAATTACTCCCATTCCTTTCCCTCTGACCGGTTGGTTCAAGATCTGGCAAACATTTACCTCTCACGATAATGTGGATGAAGATCCATCTCTCATTGTAGACTACAATGAGACTACGCCATTGCCATCACCCCAAAGTGGCGATGAGCATAGTGCATTGATGGGACATATGTCCCCATCATTTGAGGCACCCGTCCTTGAGGAAGCATCTATGCTTCCTACAAGCGAAGGTAAAACCCCGTCGTCTGCGCCTACGAGCGCAGCGACTAAGACTGAGCGCGCTACTTCGAAAGGAGCAGTCGCGACTCAGTCAGATGTAACTTCTCAAGCTGATGTCTTGACAATCCATAATGGAGAGTCAGACTCAGGTGAGTGTGAGCTTAAAGCTCCACCAAGTACACCTTCGGCCTCACTATCCCTCCGTCGCGAGGGCGGCTACGTGAGTGGTGGCTTGCCACCAATGCCACCTCCATCTGAGTGGATGAACTCGGATGGGTCTAGCGCAGCGCTTTTGCAGCGTGCCATTATAGACGCTCATAGATTGTATAGCGTCTTTCCTTTGTGGAAAAAGCAGGGCAAAGCACTTGGTCGTGCTTTCCCAATTCCAGTCGTGCTGCGTTCTAACGAAACAGCCGACGACTATGAAGCTGAAATTCGGCGCCGTGTTACCTTGCATGAAGATGCAACGAAACAGCGGTCGCAGCGAATCAGCTTCGCCATGAAGCGCGTGCGCATGAAATTATGGGTGGTAAGCGACCCCCAATCGATTCTCGCCACGCTTCTTCTCCTAGTCCTTCCGGACCTAGCAGAAAGAAGAAAGCTGGTGCTGCTTCACATAAGCAGCCACCAGCCCAGGCACGTCAACGCGCAAAGCGTCCACAGGCTCCCACGAGTCAAAGCTCGTTGGGTAACCCTTCCACTGTACCAGAATTTGGAGCTTTCGCTTCACAAACCGGTGGGCCAACAGCCTTCCAACAAGGAAGCGCGTATTCCCTTCCGTGTCCACCAAAACAGGTAACGCCCGATAGGAGCGGCGATTACGCCCACCTACTCGCGGATTCCTACCCTGCTGCTGTTCAGTCGCAGGTTGAGTCCGCTGCGCTGAAGAGGCAGGTGGCAGATCTCGAGAGTCAAGTCTCGCGACTGAACTCGGATCTGCGCGATGTGAGGACGAGGGACCGTCAGGGGTATGACCGCCTGAAGACCCGTTTGGACATCCTAGAGCGACTGGTGATGAGAGACCCGCGTCAAGCGCGGAGTCCTCCTCGATCGCCGAGTCCTCTATCGCCTCCCTCGTATACGGGGAGCCTATCGGCTTCCTCGTCGCCTGATCGGCCGCGACGCTCGAGTCACAGTCGACGTCACCATCGGGCTCGTTAGACTGATGCGGATATGTGATCTCTTTTGGATCAACATACCGTTTCAGACGACCCGCGTAAAATACGGGTGCGTCTTCATACACGGTGGGAGAGTGAGCCTATAGTTTAGGTCTCCAACTTCTTCAACCACCGTAAATGGTCCAATGAATCGGGGCAATAGCTTAGTAGTACCACCAGGTAGTACAGAAATTGCATGTTTAGGTAGGGTAGCAGTACTTAATAGTACTTTGTCCCCCACACTAAAGTGTTCATTGTTTTTGCGACCATGCTGGTCTGCATATTGTTTTTGCTTGTCTTGTGCGCTTGCCATCGCGTCACGGACTTTACGTGTGATGGCTAATCGCTCATCCACAAAGCGCTGAGCTTCGCTCACGCTTTTAGCATCCAGCTCGCAGATGACGCCTCCAAGAGGTCGTTCATGGGTCGACGCTGTTGATGACACTATAGTGTCATCATCAAGGAGCGCTGGCATTTCTTGCCGTGCCTCCTCTGTGACACCTATAGGTGACGTGACCACTGCTAAACTAGCAGTGTCACTAGGGCAACCTTGGCCCTCTTTGGCAGTTGCACCGAGCGAAGTGAGGGGCCCTCCCCCACTAAGACTCGGGCTGCGTACAAACGAGACTGGCGTTCGAGGATGACGCAGTCCGTTAATGTAAAACGGTGTTTCACCCGTACTGGCGTAAACACTGTTATTAATAGCGAACTCCACGAATGGCAATTGCTTGCTCCATTCTTTAGGAGTCGCTATTGTACGCAACACATCCGCCACGACTCGATTGGCCCGTTCTGTTTGGCCATCGGTCTGGGGATGATCAGCGGTTGACATGTGGAGCTTGCTACCCAGCAGCTCGAACACATATCGCCAAAAACCCGACGTAAAACGCGGATCCCGGTACGATACTATGGACTCGGACATCCCATGTAGTCGATAACCGTGATCCAGACAGAAGAGGCCAGCCTCCTTTCCTGAGATCTTGGTGCTACATGGTGCCAAATGCACCATCTTGCTCAGTCGGTCTACAAAGACGACGAGCCCCGTCCTGCCTTTATGGTCAGGCGGTAAGCCAAACATGAAGTCCAAACTGGCCGACTTCCAACATTCAGTTGGAATCGGCAGTGGCTTCAGTGGCGCACTGTTCGAAGGTGCAGGCTTTATGCGCTGACACTCTTCGCAAGAGCGAATATAGTTGGCCACCCACCGATATAGTTGGGGCCACTAAAATTCCTCTGACACTCGTAAGAATGTCTTTCCACGGCCCAGATGCCCACTAGATGGCGCATCGTGGCACTCGTGAAGTATCATCAGCTTGATATCTGTGTCATGAGGGACATAGATTCTCAAGGGATCACAGGGTGACAGTTGATGCCATAACAGGCCATCACTGTAACTAAAGCGATTTAACTTCGCTTTGAGGTGCGACGGAAGGGTAACCTTTCGTCCACCAAAATGCTCCAACAGCAGGCGACAATGTTCGTCCTGACTGTAACATTCCTTGATATCGGAGGCCATTGAACTCGTCACATGGTAGGCCTTCATGGCTGCCAATGTTGACGACTCAACTTGTGCTGTCGCACGAGACACACTATCCTGGTGTCTTGCCTCGAAGTCTGGTCTGCGCGATAACGCGTCAGCCAAGACATTCGACTTACCCGGCTTATATTCAACTTTGAAATTAAATTCAGAGAAGAATGTTAGCCATCTTGCCATTCTCGGCGAGAGGTGCGGTGAATTTATAGCGGTCCGCAGTGATGCGTGATCCGTATAAACCACAAAAGGTTCGGTGCCCAAGAGGTGCACACGAAACTTTACAAGGGCATACTTAATTGAAAGTAGCTCCTTGTCATGCACAGGTTAATTCAGCTCGGCAGCTTTTAAAAGCCGAGACTGATAAGAAATGACACGGTCAACGCCGTTGTCATCCTTCTGCATGAGTGCGCGGCCGATTGCAAAATTGCTTGCATCGCAGACGACGCTAAAGGGCTTATCCGCGTCTGGCAATACCAAGACCGGTGCATCTACCAGAAATTGCTTCACTAAAGTGAACGCATCTACTTGCTCCTTAGACCAAGTCCATTCTGTATCCTTTTTTTAAGGTCAGACAATGGCTTGGTCTGCTCCGCATAATTCTTGCTGTACTTATGCAAGTAATTAGCGAGCC